AGGGTGATAAAAGGCAAGCAGAGGGGCTTCAGCTGGTGGATTATGGGAGTGGGGGCGGGATGGAGAACACACGTCAAGGTGAGGCAGCCCTGCGCGGCCTCCCAGCTGCAGTGCGGGAACTGGATCCACGTGGGAAAAAATAAATGACCTTGGCCCAGTGGCTCGGCTGCTTCTGTTCTGCGAAGCAGGCGCCATCCCAGCCCCACTTCCGGTGTCGGCGGGGAGAGCAGGGGCGGATGACCTCACGCTCCCCGAAGCTTCAGCACAGCGCCCGCCCCAGTGGGGTGCAGCTAACGAGGATCACTTTGTCAGGAGCGTTTTTCGCAGGAGGTTGTCAAGCGCCTGGCCGCGCCCGGGGTGAGAGGGGGCGGGGCTCGCAGCCGCCTCCTGTCAGTCAGTCCTCGCCTTCCTTCCTCACGCAGCGTGCCCCTCGTGGAAGTTCGGGCTGGTTTTATTTTATCTCTTTAATGTCAAGGGCAGAGAGGCAGAGACAGATGGACAAGATATCTCCCATCTGCTGGTTCGCACCCCAGATGCCCCCCCCCCCCAGTAGCTGGAGCTCGGCCACGGTCCCGCAGGGAGCTGCAGCCGGAGGTGGAGCCGGGACTTGAACCTGGGTTCTCCAAGGAGAGGCACCCTTCTGCCTGTCCGCCTGTCTCCCTGTCGGGCTCTCTTCTTGCAATGAGAACTCCATGAGGCCAGGCAAGGGCTGCCCCAGGCTCTGGAGTCCCCAGCACTGCCGCGCCCAGAGCCTGGCTCCTTAACAATGAATGAGTGTGCTAACTTGAAGGTGGCCTTGGAAGATCTGACAAAAGTTTAGGGGAAACTGCGGGAGCAAAGGCTGGGGGTCTGGGAGGAGCCTGAGAGTCAGGACAGCGTGGAGCCAAGGCTGCGGGAACACCTTGGACTCCCTGGACAGGAGCCTGAGCCCTTCTCCTGAGACCGCTGGGGGCTCCCGGCAGGTTCTGGGCAGGGAGAAGGACCACACCAGGCTTCTGCTTTATTTTTATTTTATTTTTTTTATTATTTTTTTGACAGGCAGAGTGGACAGTGAGAGAGAGAGACAGAGAGAAAGGTCTTCCTTTGCCGTTGGTTCACCCTCCAATGGCCGCCATGGCTGGCGCACCACGCTGATCCGATGGCAGGAGCCAGGAGCCAGGTGCTTTTCCTGGTCTCCCATGGGGTGCAGGGCCCAAGCACTTGGGCCATCCTCCACTGCACTCCCTGGCCACAGCAGAGAGCTGGCCTGGAAGAGGGGCAACCGGGACAGAATCCGGCGCCCTGACCGGGACTAGAACCCGGTGTGCCGGCGCCGCTAGGCAGGAGGATTAGCCTAGTGAGCCGCGGCGCCGGCCCACCAGGCTTCTGCTCTGCTGGGGGTGGCAGTGGGTCGGAGCAGACTCAGCGTCTTAGGAAGGCGCAGGAGTTAGGATGCTACATGGAATGCCCACATCCCTCGACTGCAGGACCTGGATTTGAGTCCCACTCCACTTCCAGTCCGGCTTCCTGGTACCCTGGGAGGCAGCAGGTGATGGATGGCCCACGTACTTGGGTCTCTTCCGCCCACATGGGAGACCACAATGGAGTTCCTGTTTAGCCTGGCTGTTGGGGGCATTTGGGGAGTGAACCAGCAAACGGAAGATTATCTATCTACTTACCTACCTACCTGTCAATCATCTGTCTATCATCCTGGCCCTGCTGCTTTTCACGTAAAATGAAAATAAAGAAATAAAAGCAGAAAATGCCCTGGAGGCCTGCTCGCCAGTACTGCAAGGAGCTGCAGGACTCCTCCCTCACCACCAGGGGGCAGCCTAGTCCCCAACAGCTGCCGCCCCTTCCTTTGCTGCCTGGGTGGAGGTGTTTGCTTGCGGATTTGGAGGTGGCTGGAGCCAGAGCTGTCTGCCGCTCCCCCAGCTCTCCCACCTCCGCTCCTGGCCCCTGGGGCCCCCACTCCAGCCAGAGCAATTTCTGTCAACACAGCCCTGCTGTTTCCAGCCAGGACAATATTTGCCCTGGGGATCTGGGGAGGTCGCTATGGTGACTCCCCCTCCCCGCCAGAAGAGGCCAAGGGAGCCACAGCATCCGCCCCTTCTGTCCCAGTTTACCCTCCGCTCATCCCCAGGTCACTCTCTCCGTCTCTGCCTCTCTCTCTCTCTCATCTCTTCGCTTTATTTTTTTTAAAGCATTTATTTGAAAAGGTAGATATATAGAGAGAGAGGGAGAGAGATCTCCCACCTGCTGGTTCACTCCCCAGATGGCCGCGATGGTCTGGCCTGGGCCAGGCTGAAGCCAGGAGCCAGGAGCTTCATCTTGGTCTCCCCCGTGAGTGGCAGCACCATCTTCCGCTGCTTTCCCAGGTGCCTCCGCGGGGAGCTGGATCGGAAGTGGAACAGCCAGGACTTAGCTGGTGCTGGCGCCAGCACCCCCATCTCGTGTCTGCTCTCTCTCTCTCTCTGGATCCCATGTCCCCCGTCACCGCCTCTGAGTGCCCCCTCCTAGGTCCTCGCTCCCGGGGTCTCCATCTCTCCCCCCTCCCTGGACCCCATGTTTGTGTGTGTCTTTCCAGCTGCCTGTGTGTCTCAGTTGCTGTCTCTCCGTGTCTCTTTGTGCCCGTGTCTCTCGCGGGGTCACGCTCTCTCCGCTCATCTCTCTGCAGGCCTGAACCTCGGGGGGCCATCTCCACCTCCCATTTCTGGCCTCAGTCCCCATGGGGTGCCCCCTGTTCCCATCTCTCTCTGCCTCATTTCTTGCGCACCATCTGCCGGCCGCTCAGGCCCCCCCCGGCTGCTCCCTGCAGGCTCCGTTGAACCAGGCAGCCTCTGGCGATGGTGGGGGGTTTGGGGGGGGAGACACAGGCCTTGCAGCTTCTGCCCCCCAACTCCAACCCTGGGCGGGGGGTGGGGGGCACTGCCTGGTCGTGGCCAGGCGCGGGAGACCCAAGGCCAAGGGCAGTGGAATCAGCCCGACAGACAGCCAGAGAGAAGCTACCGGGAAATCAGGAAGAAGTTAAAGACGCAGAGGGCGACAGGCCTGGGAGAAAGAGAGAGAGAGAGAGAGAGAGAGAGAGAGAGCGCACTGGAGCGAGCAGAGAGAAGAATGAAAGGAGGAGACAGCCGGGGAGAGCAAGCCGGACAGACAGGCAGGGAGTGTGGGAGCTACCAGGTAGGGCAGGTAGGAGAGAGGCAGGCCGCAGGGAGAGGCAGGGAGGGGGAGAGAGCAGGGACAAGAGACCCAGAAGAGGAAGTGAGAAGCAGGGGGCGGAGGGGGGGGAGCGCTGCTAAATTTAGAGACAGGACCCAGAGGAAACCGGGCTCCAGTGGGGAGCTGCTGGGAGGGAGGCGGGGGCGCGGTGGCAGCAGGGCATTGCCCCCCCTGCTCCCCTGGGGTCTGCCAATGGGCATGTGGCTGTGGCCAGGAGGGCTCCCAGCTGTTTCCTGAAGCCCTGAGCCTGGCAGGAGGACAGGGCCCGCTGCCCCACCCCGCAGACCCTGGGAGACTTCAGAGGACCCCAGGAGGGCTGGGCTGGGCAGAGGCCAGTCAGGGACCCCCGCCTGTGCCCTCCTGTCCTTCTCACTCTCGGGGGTGGGGCTCCTCCTGGGGGCGCTGGTCTTTCCCGCTGGCCCTCGCCAGCTCGGGGACCTCCTCATGCCAGTGTCTCTGTTCTGTCTCCCCCAGCCCCATTCCCCCGCCATGGCTCCTCCATCTCTGTCTGTGCTCCGTCTCTGTTTCCCTGTGTCTCGCTCCTCCCTCCCCCAACCCCACCCGCCCATAGAGACAGCCTGGGACCCCCTCGGGGCCACGGGAGACTCCCGCCAAGCCCCAGCCTGGACAGTCTCAGACCCTTCTCTCCCCACGCCAGGATCCGAGTCTTTCCCAGGACCCAGAGGGCGCAGGAATGTGGGCAGAGAGCAGGGAGGCCGGGCAGAGAGCAGGGAGTAAGGACACCCCTGCCCCGCCCCAGAAGGGGCTCCTTCCAGTCTCTGGTGCAGACCTCACACCACCCCTCCTGGGGCCTCAGTTTCTCCTCTGAGGAATGGGCAGATCATGCAGGCCCCGTGGGAGCGAGTGTTTGTGGCACAGGACAGGGCGGTTGATGTACAGGGTGAGGGCGCCCAGAGCTGCGGGGGCTCTGCGCCCCCTGCCGCCCCACCCCCACCCCGGGTCCAGAAGTTTCCCCACATTGAGGGCGACGGAAGGGGCTGGAGGGGGGGAGTTCTGTGGCCGGGAGACGTGCGAGCTGCGGATTCGGAGCTGGGGTGACGTGCAACATGTGGGGCGTGTGTATGAGCGCAGGTGGCTACCGAGTGTGGGAGTGTGACCGTGTCACGGGTGTGGCTGTGTGTGACCGGGTGACACCGGGAGCTTGTGCCTCAGTGATGGTTGGGGGCGTGGGGTGTGACCGCGTGGCCTCTCGTGGTGAGGAGCGTGTGAGCCGTGCCTGCACGCCTGGCACGTGACTTTGCGTGTGCTTGTTTTGTTCACCATCGCTCCTTGCAGCCCTGCCCTGGACATGCTGGGGTCCCTGTGCCGGGGTCCTCCTGGGACAGCAGGGGAGACAGACAGTGCTAGTGAGCGTGTGAATGTGTACGTGACTGACAATGCTACTGGGACTGTGGGAAACTGCGGCTGTGTGTGTGTGTGTGTCACCGAGTGACTGTCACTTTGTGGGTGACAGATGGGCTCTCTGGGTGTGACTGTGGGAGCCACAGTGCGTGACGTTCCATGATCATGTGTGACACTGCCCGTGGCTGGGTGGCTGGCTCCGTGTGAGTGGCTTGGTGGGAGGGGGCACTCGGGGACCGGGGCGGGGGCTGTGGGTGGAACAGGGGAGTGTGTACAGCTGGGGAGGGGGCTTCCCCGCGATACCCCTGTGCCTGCTCCCCCACCTAGCCTTAGGTGACTGTGATACTGGGGTGCCGCTGTCCCCTGCTCGCTCCCCCTCCCGCTCTCTGTCCCGCCCTGGCCCCGCCCCCTCCCACCACCCCAGGCTCCAGCGCCCATCACCTCCTCCAGAGCCCAGGGAAGGCAGTGGAGGTAGCTGTGGACGACGGACGCAGCAGGAGCAGGACGGGGGACAGGTGAGGTCCCCCCACGCCTGCCCCTCTGGGTCTCCCTGTCTCCAGCTCGCGCGCTGTTCCTGTCTTTTGTCTTTGTCTTTCCGTGCCCAGTCTGTCCTCCCTCGCCTCTGTCTCTCCGGCTCCGCTGAGTTCCAGGTGGCTTCGTACCTGGGCTTCTTCCCGCCCGCCCTTCACTGTGTCTCTCGGGTCCGTTTCCTGTGCCTTTCTAACCGTTGCCCCTGTCTCTCTCCGCTGTCTCCTTGTCTCTGGCTGTCCTGGTTCTCTGTCTTGCATGTCTTTCATTCCCAGCCCCAGTCTGTCTCTCTAAGATGCCCCCGCACCCCCCTTCCCTCCGTGGTGCTGGGGTGGGCTGGACTGGGTGGGTGTTAGGGGGTAGGTGGGAGGATTTCAGAGCATCCGGGTCCTTGCAGAACTAAGTGTGTGTGTGGGGGGGGGTCTCACCCTACCTGAGGCCAGAGTGCTGGCTGCCAGCCGTCCCACTGGCTCTGGGCTTTACCTGGAAGCATTGGGGATAGGACAGTGGGAAGCCAGGTGGGCATCTAAAGCTCCCCTCCCAGACTCGCCCTGGATCCCCACCCCAAGGCGGCCCCCAGGTTCTCCAGAGTCTATGTCTAGACTCGAGGTGACACTACCGCTTCTGCCCCAGCCGCAGCTCTAGGGCAACCGCCCCCTCAGCAAACAATCCCCCCCCTCCACCGCCGCTGCCCCAGCAACAGGTGGGGGCGGCCCGGGAATCCCTTATCAGACCCCGGCCCCGCCCCCAGCTGCCGCAGCATCGCGCGTGGGGGCCGGGAGGGGGCGCTGCCCGCGATCCACGTGCGTGAATCCCCCAGGCCCGGGCGGCGCCGGGGTTGGAGTGCTGAATCGGCCTTGGGTCCCTCCAGGGGAGACCGTCCCTGTGTTGCCGGACCCCGGGCCGCCGTCGCGATGCCCAGCTGGGCGCCCTGGCGGCTGCTGCTGCTCTCGCTGGCGGGGCTGCCGCTCCGGAGCGCGGAGGTGAGGAGCTGGGGGGGGGGGGGGGCAGCAGAGCGCCAGGCTTGGAGGGAGGCCCCCACCCAAGGAGAGATTGCAGACCGCCCCGCCCGCCAGATTCCAGTGTTGCTGGCTGCTTCCAGTCCTCATCTCCCCCTCCCATGGAGGTCCAGCCGCCCCCCCCAATTTTCCTCCAGGTTTCCAGCCCCCCATGACCACGTCCTCAGCGGCTTCTAGGCTCCCCTAAGACTTGGCAGGAGTTTCTAGGCCACCCAAACGGGACAGCCCCTCCAAGTCTCCAGGGCCGCGGGGATCGGTCTGGGTGGAGGGGGGTCCTCCCTTCTCTCTTCTCGTAGACAGGATCTGAGGGGCAGACGGCCGGGGAGCTGTACCGGCGCTGGGAACGGTACCGCAGGGAGTGCCAGGAGACCCTGGAGAGCGCGGAGCCCCCCTCAGGTGCGCCTCGGTAAACTTGGAGCGCGCCTCGGGCGGCCGTGCCGGGGCCAAATCCCGGAGAAGTCCAGGGTTGATGTGGGCGGGCTCTCCGCGGCCTGGGTGGGGCTTAGCGTCGGTGGGAGGGGCCCAGGCCTGAGCTCGGCGAGGATTGGGGCGGGCCGGGATGGTGGGAGGGGCCTGGATGGGAAATTTGAGGTGGGAGGGGTCTTGGGCAAGGCCAGGCCCCACAGTGGGCAGAGTTTTGTGGTGGAGCCCACGCTGATGGGGAAGAATCTAAGGCGGGCATTTCCTGGGTGGGAGGAGCCCGAAGCTGGGCTAGCGGGGTGGGCGGGGCCTTGAGGGCTGGAGGGAGGAGCTTTGGCAGAGCCTGGACAGGACCCCGTGGGGTGGGGCGCCGAGCAGGGCTTGGCGTGTGGAAGGCAGGGAAGCTTGGGGCCCACGCGACACTTGGCCCCCACGCCCATCCCCCAGGTCTCGCCTGTAACGGGTCCTTCGATATGTATGTCTGCTGGGACTACGCTGCACCCAACGCCACGGCCCGAGCGTCCTGCCCCTGGTACCTGCCTTGGCACCGCCAAGGTGAGGCACTGGGCACCCCGACTCTCCCCGGACACTTGCACCCCTGACCTTTGTCCCCTCAGCCCACGTACGCCCCTCCTGCCCTGCCAGGCTGGTGTCTCCTCGTCTCTCCAACCCTGGCTCTGAGGACTAAGGAGCTCTGATTTTCTCTCCTTTTCTGGAATCTCTCTGTCTCTGGGCCTCTTGGTCTTCCCGGCCTAAGTAGCTTTGTTTCTTTTCTTTAAAGATTGATTTTATTTATTTGAAAGACAGAGTTACAGAGAGAGGTAGAGACAGAGAGAGAGAGGTCATCCATCCGCTGGTTCACTCCCCAAATGGCCACAACAGCTGGAGCTGTGCTGGTCCGAAGCCAGGAGCCAGGAGCTTCTTCCAGGTCTCCCACGTGGGTGCAGGGGCCAAGCACTTGGTCCATCTTCCACTGCTTTCCCAGGCCGTAGCAGAGAGCTGGATTGGAAGTGGAACAGCCAGGTCTTGAACCGGCGCCCACATGGGATGCTGGCACTGCAGGCAGCAGCTTTACCCGCTACACCACAGCGCCGGCCCCCAGTTTGTGTTTCTGTCTCCATCTCCTTCGGTGGCCCTCTGATCCCCTCCCTGTTTCCCTGCAGTGGCTGCGGGCTTTGTCCTCCGGCAGTGTGGCAGTGACGGCCAATGGGGACCTTGGCGAGACCACACCCAGTGTGAGAACCCAGAGAAGAACGAGGCCTTTCAGGTACGGAGAGCTCAGGAGGCCCAGGGACAGGTGAAGAAGCAGCATCCCCAGGCCAGGCCTGACCCCCCCCCCCCCGCACTGCTCGAGACGCTGCATTTCATGTGACAGAAGCCTGAGACACCCCCCCCCCCCCCCGCCCAAAGGAGAGGAGAAATGGATCGGCTTTCTGTGACTGGGTAGCAGCTTCAGGCACAGCAAGATCTAGGCGCTCGTAGCGTGCCTGGTTTTCTCTGTGCTGGTCTCCTGGTCCCTGTGGGGTGCAAACGGGCCCCCACAATCAGACGCTTGCATTGACCAGCCACAGAGACCCGCGGGGACAGGAGATTCCGTCCTTGGACATGGCTGTCCCCGTCCAGGAACCGGTTCTCTTCGTCCTGGTTTGAGACCTGCCCTTCCTGGGCACTCTGTGCAGGGTGGCCGGGGCCTGGGTCAAAGGTCAGGTCGAATGCTCGAACTGCTGGGCCACATGTCCAGCCTGGGGCTGAGCTGGTGGGCCAAGCCTCGGCCAAACAAGAGTGAGCAATTTCCCAAGAAGAAACCCGGGGTGCCGGGGGCGGGGACAGAGAGCAGACGTCCTCCCTGCCCTTCCCTGGGCCTGCGGGGAGAACTGAGGCTTCTTCCTGTGTCCCCCACGCCCGCCAGGACCAAAGGCGCATCCTGGAGCGGCTGCAGGCCGTGTACACCATCGGCTACTCCCTGTCCCTGGCCACGCTGCTCCTAGCACTGCTCATCCTGGGTGTCTTCAGGTGGGACCCCAAGCCTGGGTGTGCCCCCAGACGGGGGGCTCGGCTCCACCCACCCACTGGTGGTCCTATGGGAAGGGCCCCCTGGGTTAGAGGGGCTCTGGGCTACTGAGAGCAGCTCTCTGGGGGGGTTCCCTGACTGCCCCCCCACTCCCCAGGCGGCTGCACTGCACCCGGAATTACATCCACATCAACCTGTTCGCGTCTTTCACGCTGCGGGCTGCGGCCATCCTGAGCCGGGACCGGCTGCTACCTCCACCGGGCCCCCACCCCGGGGACCAGGCCCCCGCCCTGTGGAACGAGGTGTGCCTCACTGGCCTGGCCTCCTACGCCCGCCCGCTCAGCCTCTCTCCAGACACTTTTGGAGGGACCCCCCCCCCAACGCTGCCTCCCGATCCCGAACCTCTCCCAGCACCACCCCCCGTGGGAATTTCACCTTCCTCGGTGAGAGCGTCCACCCGCGGGGGCTGAGGCCAGGCACAGACTGGGGGGAACTAGCCGGGTTGGGGGTGGGCATTTGGTGGGCACCATTTTGTTACTGGAAGACAGGCTGGGAGACTAGACCCTGGGAGCAGAGGTGGCAAAAACCTCGATCGGGTCCCATTGGGGCCGTACCAGCTGTTAAAAAGACATGGGGTGCAGTTGGCAGGAGCCAGGACTGGGGACAGAGAGAGCAGGTGGAATCTCCCCGGAGTGCCGGGGACCCACCGCCTGGCCGCCCCCCAGGCCCTCGCCGCCTGCCGCACGGCCCAGATCCTGACCCAGTACTGCGTGGGTGCCAGCTACACGTGGCTGCTGGTGGAGGGCCTGCACCTGCACAGCCTCTTGGTGTTCCCTGGCGGCTCGGAGGAGGGCCACTTCCGCTGTTACCTGCTCCTTGGCTGGGGTGAGCCTCGACCCCGGCCCCGCCCAGCCCAGCGCGCCTCGGCTCCCCGCCCGCCTCGCCTCGTCTACCTCTGGGGGCCTCCTCCCCTCTCTAGGCCGCCCCCCACCCCGCCCCGACCCTGGCAGAGGAACTCGCGGGTCTTGGGCCTGGCGGGGCCTGTGCGCGCGCTGACAGCTGCGGCGGGGTGGGGGGCGGGGCCGGGGTCTGCACAGGGGCCCCCGCGCTTTTCGTCTTTGCCTGGGTGATCGTCAGGTACCTGTACGAGAACACGCAGTGAGTCCCAGGGGCTGGGGCGGGGCCTGGGCGGTGGGCGGTACCTTGGCGGATGGGGTGGGGTTATGACAGTAGCAGGCGGGGCTTCAAGGAGAGTGGGCGGGGTCTGGCGAGTGCGCCTGGGTGAGTCTCGGGGGGTTGCCCACGTCTCAGCCGGACCCCACCTCCCCCAGGTGCTGGGAGCGGAACGATGTCAAGGCCATTTGGTGGATCATCCGCACCCCCATCCTCATAACCATCTTGGTACAGCCCCCTCCCGACCGCCCTCGCGCCCGCCCCCACCCGGGCTGGGGTCGCGCGGTCAGAGGCTCCTCGCTCTCCTGCAGATAAACTTCCTGATCTTCATCCGCATCCTTGGCGTCCTCGTGTCCAAGCTGAGGACCCGGCAGATGCGCTGCCCCGACTACCGCCTGAGGTGAGGGCTGGCGGCCGCGGGGGCGCGCCCAGAGCCCCGGCCTCGGACCAGCGCCCCTCTCCCCGCAGGCTGGCTCGCTCCACGCTGACGCTGGTGCCCCTGCTGGGCGTCCACGAGGTGGTGTTCGCGCCCGTGACGGAGGAACAGGCCCGCGGCGCCCTGCGCCTGGCCAAGCTGGGCTTCGAGATCTTCCTAAGCTCCTTCCAGGTGCGCGGGCGGGGCGGGCCGGGCTCCCTGGGCTGCAGCTGAGGGCAACACCCAATCCGGGTCTCCCCCGTGGGTGGCAGGAACCCAGCATTAGCAGGAGGCTGGGTGCTGAGCCCGTGCGGAACCCGGGGACCTCAGCCGGCAGCCTAACTGCTAGGCCGACACCAGGCCTCTCATTCCAGCCTGGACAGGGCGGTCAGCGGAAGGCTGAGCGCATGCGCGGCCCCAGTGCCCCTCGGCTCCCCCCCGGTTCTTTATCGGGGGAGTCAGTGAACCAGGAGGTCCCCGTGCGAGGGAAGCAGAGGGCGCGGAGAGCCGAGGGGTCCCCACGGACGGGGTGGCCACCTTAGGGGGACACTGGGGGAGAAGCCAGGCAGGTAGGCCATGTTCCAGGAAGGGACACAGCAGGTGCCACCCGAGGTGTGAGAGCGGCTGGTGAGGTGGGGGCCTTGGCTGCGCCGCTGCCCTAAGTGGGGCTGCCGGGGGTCGGTTTTGAAAGAACCCTGGGAGGTAGTACGTGAGCACATGTAACCTCAAGCCCTACAGGAAACACATTCGATACTTAAGTTAGAACAGAACAGTATAAACGTATTGACGCCTACCTGCGGTTACTTTAGTACCAGTGAATGGCAGTAGGCCACGCTGATTGACAGCCCCAGCCGTGACCTAACCCACGCCCCTCCCTCCGCCAGGGCTTCCTGGTCAGCGTCCTCTACTGCTTCATCAACAAGGAGGTAGGCCGAGCCCCGGGCCGCGCCCCCTGGCGGCCGCGCGGGGAACGGCGCCGCCTCTGAGCGCCTGCCGTTGCAGGTGCAGTCGGAGCTCCGCCGCGGCTGGCGCCACTGCCGCTCGCAGCGCTGCCTGGGCGAGGAGCCGCGCCAGCGCCCGGAGCGCGCCTCTCGGGCCCTGCCCTCGGGCCCGGGCCCCGGCCGCGTCCCCACCGGCCGCGCCTTGCCCTCTGGGACCTTGCCAGGCCCCGGGGATGAGGCCAGCCGGGTACTGGAAAGTTACTGCTAGGTAGCAGGGTCCCGCGTCTGTCCAATCAGCACATATTTGTTGAGTGCTTGCTGTGTGCCAGGCCCAGTGTGGGGGACACCGGGGAATTAGGGGACAGGAAACCAGGTCGCCGGCCTCACGCAGATCACACAGGCTATGGAAATGGCTTCTGAAGGGAGGTCTGGCAGAAGGGACAGCATGTGCTAAGGCCCCGGGGCAGGGAGGAACTGGAGAGGAATGAGCCAGAGCCAGCAGCAGACAGGGGCACACAGTCAGGATCTTACTCCGGGCGCACTGAAGGCTGTTGGCAGGGGCCCCGGTACGCCCGGTAGGGGCAGGGGTGGATGCCAGAGCTGAGCGAGCTGCCCGGCTGCCGTAGGGGTGCGGAAGCTCACCAGGCAGGAGCCGTTTCAAAGGCAGCGTGGAGGGGCCGGCAGGTCCTAGAAGTGCAGTGAACGAGAGACCAGAAGGGTGGCGGAGAGGAGACCCGGCTCAGGGCGAGGACCCAGTGTCCTGTGACACTGCCGGCGTCGGGGGGCCGGGTGTGGGGCGGTCAGCACAGACACCTTGGGGCGGCCTCACGGCGGACACCCGCGCACAGAGCGGCCAGGGCACAGCTAGCCGCAGGGAGGACACACAACCCAGCTCCAGAGACGGGCTGCCATGGGCACTGAGAGCCGGCAAGCTGACCGCTGCACAGCCACGAGGCCCTCACCCCCGTCTTCCCCACACAGCTGTGCCCACAGCTGAGCCTTCTCAGCCTGTGGCCTGGCCCCCCCCACCGCGGTGGGTGCCCCTGGGAATAAAACTGGAGCACCCCTTGTTTTCTGTCTTCTTTCCGGGGTGGGAGAGTCTCCTTGGAGCTGGCTACAGAGGGCCCCTGGCTGGGCGGGGCCTGCAGAGGCAGCGTGGGCTGCCCCACGGTGTGTGCCCCGTCCCATCCTCTGGAGAGCAGTGAGGGGTAGGAGCAGCCTGGCTCACAGCTGCAGAACGGGGCCCGAGGAACCCCCCCCCAGACTGCCCACACGTAGGCTTTGGCTTCCAGCACTGAAGGGCTCGGGTGGGGATGGGGAGGGAGCTGGGCTGTGGCGCGGCATCCCACCCCCCATCCTGGAGCTATCGGAGCGCCCCTGCTGTGGCGGGCCTAGGCCCCTGCTGTGGCGGCCGCGTGAGTCCTGGAACAGGGGCAGGGTCGGGACTCAAGCCGGCCACTCCACTTCGGGACACGGGGTCCAAACTGGCGTCTTACCTGCCAGGCAGAGGGAGCGGCCGCCTCGGGGAACCGCGTCCCACCTCCTGGCGCGTCCGATCAGCAGCAGCAGGCTGACAGCAGGACCCGGAGCTGGGCCTGTGACTCCGGGCTGGCACCAGGCCTGCCGCTGGCGAAGAAGCCAATCCCAGGGCTCTGCAGCCACCCCCACCCCCACCCCGAGGGCAACACCACTCCCAAGGGCCTGGGTGCAGCAGCTCCCTGCGTGCCCGTGGGCTCATTTGCCAGTGGGTAACGGTGTGGCTGGTGAAAGAGGTCCTACCTACCCACGCCCGCCTATCACTGGTGGAAAGCAGCTCCCCAGCCCCACCCAGAGCCCCGGGGCGCTGTCCCACCTAGACGGAGACCCTCACGGAACCCTCAGCCCATGGCCGCTGGCCCCTCTGCCTGCCCCCAGCCCGGGTGTGGCTCCATCCAGAGGCAGGGAGAGCACGCGGCGTGTGTCCCACAAGACAGCTTTTCCTTAAAGCCCATTCGCTGAGGGCCCGCTCTGCCACCTCTGCCCGCACGGAGAAGCCCCTCAGGGTTTTAAGTTGTCACCTGAAGGGCGCAGGGCTCAGCGGCGAAGCCACAGGCGTGGGTGTGGATCCTGGCACCACCACGTCCTGCCTGGGTGCCCCTGGGGGGTGACGCTGCCTCTCTGGGCCTCAGTTCCCTCCTGTGCAACACGTAACACACAGGCTGACAGCGCCGACACCCAGCTGAGGCGGGTCCAGGGCTGTCCCGGGCACTGTTGCACGGGGCGGGGCACACAGGAGGCCCCTGCCTTGTCGGCACGAATGCAAACAAAGTCCAGAAGAAACCCGGGCAAGGACAAAGCCCTGAGAGGCAGGGGGCGGAAGAGGGCGACAGGGAGACCAGGAGAGCCAGGGAAAGGCGCACAGAACTCGCGCCAGCCTGAACTGAACGGCCACTCCCACGTGACCGGCTGCTGTGGACGGGGAAGTGAGCCAGGCGGGGCGCAGACCGGCCTCCCCCCGCAGGTCCTGGCCCCAGCCCGGTGGCCGCCCTCTCCCAGGTGCGCCCCGCCCGCGAGGCGCTGGAGCAGACAGACCCGCTAGAAAACACGCTGGGGCTTTATTGACGCAGGGCGGGGCGGGGCCAGCGCAGGGCGGGGCGGCGCCCTACTTGCCGGCGATGAGCGGGGCGGGGCCGGCGCAGGGCGGGGCGGGCGCAGGGCGGCGCCCTACTTGCCGGCGATGAGCGGGTTGCGCAGCACCACGATGACCGAGTCCCCGCGCAGGAACATCTTGGAGATGTAGCGGTCCTTGTTGACCGGCTTGGACTTCTTCTTGCCCTTGCCGCTCTTGGGGACCTCGGTCCACATCTCCTTCACGTTCTCCAGCACCATGTTGCAGTGCCTGCGGGGGGCGGGGGGGGGCAGGGTCAAGGGGAGCCTCTGGCCCGCCCCGCCGAGCCGTGCTGGGCGTGGGGAAGGGACAGCCGCCCTGCAGCCCCCGCTGCCCCCCCCCCCCCCGCGCCTGTGTCCTCCTCCCCGAGACGGAGACAGCGGTGCTGCCGAGGAACTGCGGGGGAGCTTCCGCCTGCTGGTCACTCCCCAGATGCCAGCAACACCCGAGTGCCACGCGGTGGCAGGGACCTAAGCACTTGGGCCACCACCTGCCGCCTCACAGGGACCACTGGGCCGGGAGCAGAACTAGGACTGAACCCAACACAGCAGGCAGGCGTCCAGAGTGGGCCCGGAAGTGCCTTTCCTCCAGGTCTCCCATGGGGTGCAGGGTCCAAGCACTTGGGCCATCCTCCACTGCACTCCCGGGCCACAGCAGAGAGCGGGCCTGGAAGAGGGGCAGCCGGGACTTGAACCGGTGCCTGTATGGATGCAGGCGTCGCAGGTGGAGGCTTAGCCCACTACAAAACAGCAGTGGTCCAGGGCTTTTTTAAATTTTTTTTGAAGAATGCAGTTATTTATTTGAAAGGCAGAGTTAGAGAGAGAGAGATGGAGAGAAAGATTGTTCCTTCCACACACTGGCTTACTCTCCGAATGGCTGTAACGGCCAGGCTGGGCCTGGGCAAAGCTGGGAGCTTTCTCTGGGCCCCCCAGCTGAGTGGCAGGGGCCCACGTGCTCGGCCAGCTTCTGCTGCTCTCCCCGGCACGTCAGCAGGGAGCTGCATCAGAAATGGAGCGGCTGGGACTTGAACCAGCGCTCATATGGGACGCAGGTGTTGTAGGCAACAGCTTAACCTGCAGTACAGATGCTAGTCCTGGGATTTAAAAAAAAAAAAAAAAAAAAGCAGAAGATGGCCGAGTCCTTGGGCCTCTGCACCAGCGTGGGAAACCCAGAAGTGGCTGTGGCTCCCGGCTCTGTCCTGGCCCAGCCTCAGCCCATGCGGCCGCTTGGGGGCTGCACCAGCGATGGAAGATCTCTCTCTCCCTCCCTCTCTGTAATTGTGCCTTAAAAAAAAAAAAAAAAAAGAAGCCCCCATCTTCCGACACGTGTGATGTTTCAGTCACACCACGCTCCTGCGGATCTGTGACCACCAGGGGGGCGGTCCCTGGAGGGAGGGCGCAGGAAGGAGATCGCCTGTCATCAGGTGCCTGTTTGAATCCGCCCCACCTGCACGCACTGCGCATTCAGTCGCGGGTGGGAGGGGCTGAGGGGGCAGGCAACACCCCGCTGGCCGCAGTGTTCTCAGGCCGGGACCAGCAGAACCGGGCGGCAGGAGAGCGCCTGGAAGGTTCTCCTGCAGGACCGAGCCCTGCCAGGGGCACCTCTGCAAGGCTGTGGGCACCACAAAGGACGGCCAGGGGCACGGTGAGTGCGTGAGTGAGACACCACAGAACACACGGGGGCGGCGCTGTGGTTGGTGGGCTGACGCCCTGGCCTGCAGCGCCAGCATCCCACAAGGGTGCCGGTTCGAGGCCCGGCTGCTCCTCTTCGATCCAGCTCTCTGCTGTGGCCTGGGAAAGCAAAAGATGGCCCAAGTGCTTGGGCCCCTGCATCCACGTGGTAGACCAGGAGAAGCTCCTGGCTCCTGGTCAGCTCAGCTCAGTGAACCAGCGGATGGAAGACCTCTCTGTGTCTCTATCCATAACTCTACCTCTCAAAATAAATAAAATATTAAAAGCCTGCCTGCGTGCTACCCCCGGCTCTGGCCCCACTGTGGACATCCGGGGAGTGCCCAGCAGGTGGGAGCTCTCTCCGTCTCTCCGCTTCTCTTTCAATGAATGAACCAAAAGGTGTCCTGTGGCCAGGCACTTCATGCGTGTTAAGTCACCGCATCTCTGTATCCACCGCGACGACTGCCTGCCACTGTGCGGACAAGATAACGGCACGCGCTGAGGGTCGCCTGGCCGCTCAGAGGGACAGCACAGCAGGGGCCGGCTGGCGCCCACCGCAGGGCAGGGCGGGAGGCGCGGCCTCGGAGGAGCCCCGCCCGCAGGCCCCTCCCTCCCGGGCCAGGCCCCGCCCCCGGCCGCGCACCTGTCGAAGGCCTTCACGCGGCCCAGCAGCTTCTTGTTGTTGCGGCAGTTGATGAGCACCTGCGTGTTGTTCTTGACCGACTGCGTGAGCACGGAGAGCGGGCCCGTGTTGAACTCCTCCTCCTCCCGCTTCTGCAGCTCCTCGGGGGTCATCTCGCTCTTGGGCTTGTTGAGGAGGCTCCTGACGGGGGAGGAGGGACCCGCGGGTGAGGGGAGGAGCCGGGGCCGCCCCCCAGCCCTGCCGGCCTGGTCTCTAGGCATCAGCACCTGGAAGCCACCAGCCATCCCCAACCCCGCCCGCCCCGGCTCAGCTCCCGCTAGGCCCCCTCCCCAGCCTGCTGCACCCAGGGCACACCACTCCCTGGGGGGTAAGTCCGCCCTTCTCATTGGCCGGGCAGAAGCGGACGTCCACTCCTCTTTCGTCTCCCACGGCAACTCGGACAGCAGCCACTGTCAGGACTTGCTCTACGGCGCCCCCACCTTCCTCCCCCTGGCGTCTGACGCCCACTGCCCCACAATCGGGACGCTTGTCCCTCGGCATCCACAGGGGGCTGGTCCCAGGATCCGCGTCGCCCGGGTCCCGGAAGCCTCAGCGGCCCGGATCCCTTAGGTGGGATGGCGGGGACGCACACACACACACCCTGCGCACACCTCCCGCTCGCTAAGTCATCTCCAGGTTACAGCGTAACGGGACCTGACTGTGCTGCGACCCCGTGGAGCCCGGGCAACAGTCACAGGAGAAAGGCCTGCCCGGCCACTCGGGGCTGGCCAGCCTCAGTGTTCAGAACAGCACTCGGGCGCCGGCTTAAAAACCAGCCTGCCGTAGTCCCGCTCGGCAGGGCCGAATCAATGCGTCTGCCGGCCGTACCCCTCCCCCCGGCCGGCTGCAGAATCCGACCTCCGTGCCAGGGCTACCTGCACCCAGGGGCAGCCTGGGGGCCGTGCGCAAGCCTAACTCACGGCAGCCCCCTCGGAACCCTCCCAGGGCCCCCGGCTGAGCCTGCAGCCCCAGCCGCGGCGTCGTTGCGAATCAGGCCGAGCAGCCACGGCCCCCGGCCCCAGCTCACGTTCCAAGCCCCTCGCCCCCAATCGCTATGCCTAAAAGCCCGCGCCCGCTCCCCGGCTTCTGTAACTCGAGAAGCCGCTTCTTAACCTTCACTCCAGCGAGCTGATGACGCGGAGGAGCCGCTGCCCGTTCTCTCACAGAGCTGGCGGCCCTCGCGGACTCAGGGTCCGCCAGAGGCCCCGGGGGCCGGTCCCACGCTCATTACAGAAAATTCGCCCGAGAGCTCTGCTCCGCCCCGGCGCTGCCGCCCCCTTCCGCCGCTAATCGGCCGCATTCGCACCCACAACCTCACGCCCGCCGCTTAAGCCCAGCCCGGCCTCACATGGTGCCGGCCCCGCGTTCGGGTCACTCTCACTCCAACCTCCTCCGCGTTGCTTCTGCCTCTGCGGATGGAGCGCGAGAGGGGCGGGACTTCCGCTTCCGGCGGGCCACTTCCGTGGGCGCCTGCGCAAACCCACCCGGCGGGCTGGGGCGTGGCTTGTTGCCATAGCGACCCCCGCCGGCTGCGCAGCGAGGGGGCCGAAGCCGCGAGCGGCAGTTCGAGGCCTTTAAGGACCACAGCGGGCAGGTGTTCATCGGGATGGAGAGACCAAGACAGAGAGTCCGAGTCGCGCCGCTTCGTGGTAGAGGCGGGACAGGCTGCAGGAGGGAAACGGCCAGAGGTTTCTAAATGCCCGCCGGCCCCGTCTCCGGGGGCGCGGCCTCCACGAAGCCAATCCGGTCCCGGCTTCGGGGCCTGACGCCTCGCTGGATCTTCCCGTCCCGCGGAACCAATCCCTTTCCGCGGCCGGGCGCTGCCCATTGGCTTTACCCGCTCCGCCGGGGCGGGCCGCACGCCTTCGCGTCCCCTCTGGGGGTTGTGCAACCCCTCTGGGAGCCAATCGCGACACCCCGGGCCTCCGGGGAGGCTTGTCCTCGGGAGCTGCACCCGGCTCGCCGGGCCGGGGTGGTGCCCGGCGCTCTTGTCGCTCATTGGCTTTGTGATTCCATGGGGTGGGACTTGGCTGGGCCTGAACTCCATCCGCGGTCCCTGGCCGGTTTCAGGGCAAAGCTGCCATGCGTCCCGGGGGCCGCGGGCGGCCCCGGCCCCGGCTCGGGGAGCGCGGCCTGATGGAGCCGAGCTCGCCGCTCAAGCGCCGCCTGCTCCCGCGGGCGCAGCTGCTGCCCGTGCTGCTGCTGGCGCTGGCCGTGGGCTCGGCCCTCTACACGCTGTGGGGCAGCTGGCACCGCAGGACCGAGGAGCTGCCGCGGGTGAGGCTGGGCGCGGCGCGGGCACTGGAGGGCCCTCTCTCCCCGCTTCCTCTTTCCGAGTTTCGGTTTGACGTGGCGCTACCTGGGGCCCTGGCCGCAGGTGCCACCGGCTGCCTCCCCGGAGCGCAAGCCCCCTCCCAACGCGCCCCCTGGAAAGAAAGGCTCCGGAGTCGTCAGGATGAGGGTTTTGGGTTCCACGCCCGAAAGGCAACTCTTGGAAGCCTCCCTTCCCCTCGCTGGGCTTCGGTTTCCATGTCACGATCGAGGGGTAGGCTAAACCGGGTGGGCTTGGAGAGACTTTGATCCTGGAAGTCTCCCATGCCGCGGAGGCTGCGCCTTAGAGGCACCCGGGCTTTTGGGGGGAGGGAGCAGTGCGCTCATTCTTCTCTTCTTTAGACGCCGCTGACCGGAAGTCTCCCGGAGGCCCGGCTGCGGAGGGTGGTGGGGCAGCTGGACCTGCAGCGCCTCTGGGGCACTTTCCTGCGACCGCTGCTTGTTGTGCGAGCCCCGGGCACTCCGGGCAGTCTCCAAGTCAGAAAGGTACGAGGCCCCGTCTCCTCTCCCAGCGCTGACCCGCCCCCACCCCCACACACACCTAGCCCAGCGGGGCATGGGAAGCGGGGGTCCTGTCCAAGGGTCCCGGAGCGGCGGAGGGGCAGGAGCCAGGCACTGACTCGAGTCTCACACAGGTGTTTCCCAAGCAGCAAACAGCCCCGTGAGGGGTCAGTAAGATCTTCAATGTGCAGGTGGGGAGGCCGGGGCCCAGGGAGCTTGCAGCTGGTCAGGAGGCCGGGGCCCAGGGAGCTTGCAGCTGGTCAGTGGGAGACCGGGGCTGGAACCCAAGCTTACGTTAGCTCCAGAGCTGGCGGCTGGGACTGGCTGTACTTCTCCTAGAAAGCATCAGGGCTCATTTGCATACTGCTGCCTCCTGACCCACGTGAGACAGGTTCATTCTATTTTATTTGAAGATTTGTTTATTCGAGAGACAGAGTTACAGAGAGAGAGAGGTCTTCCATCTGCTGGTTCATTCCCCATATGGCTGCAACGGCCAGAGCTGGACCGATCTGAAGCCAGGAGCCAGGAGCTTCTTCCAGGGTCTCCCACGCAGGTGCAGGGGCCCAAGCACTTGGGCCATCTTCCACCGCTTTCCCAAGCCATTAGCAGGGAGTTGGATCGGAAGTGGAGCAGCTGGGGCTTGAACCGGTGCCCGTATGTGATGCTGGCACCAGAGGCAGAGGCTTACCCTGCTCTGCCACAGTGGCGGCCCCTGGACTAGCGTCCTAACTTCTCCCGCCCTGAGTTTGCTCGTCTGCCATTCCTAGGCAGTCTGCATCCCACAAGGGTTGACACACACGGTGAGAGATTTAGGAGTAAGCTGGGGTTCGTCTCGTGGGCGTCGCGATGGGGTCACCCCAACATCTGGCACCCAGTGGGTGCTCAGCAGGAGGGTATGAGTGAGACCCACGCGGGGCGGTCGAGTCACCCCGGCTGCCGCGCGGGGCTCAGGTCCCACGCGCCTTCCCCGCACCTCCTCCCCAGTCCCGCTCCGCCCTCCCACCGCTCTGTCGCCACAGTTCCTGGAGGCCACGCTGCGGACCCTGGCAGCCGGCTGGCATGTGGAGCTGGATCCCTTCACAGCCTCGACGCCCCTGGGGCCCCTGGACTTCGGCAACGTGGTGGCCACGCTGGACCCAGGCGCTGCCCGTCACCTCACCCTTGCCTGCCATTACGACTCAAAGTTCTTCCCCCCGGGGTCCGCCCCCTTCGTGGGGGCCACGGATTCGGCTGTGCCCTGTGCCTTGCTGCTGGAGCTGGCCCAGGCCCTGGATCTGGAGCTGAGCAGGGCCAAGGAGCAGGTGAGGAGCAGGGGTGGGCGAGGGGCCGTGGGCCAAGCCACCACCCTCCCTTGCCTGGGCCTTTGCCATCCTGCTTGTCTGCCCACGTCCACGGAACACGCAGAGCCGCGGGCATCTTCCTGCCTCCTCTCGGCTCCAAACCCTCCGCGGCTCCCACCTCACTCCAAGCATAAGCCCACGAGGTGTGCCGGAGCCAGCTTGCTTGGGAGAGTGGCGCCTGCGGCGGCCAGGGGTGTTGCCCGCCCGGGCCCAGCAGTCGCTGTAGCCTGCACTGCCTGCAGCGCCACCTAACGGCTCAGACGTAGCTCCTCCTCTGTCACCTGAGACCGGGACTGTCGCGTTCCTAGCAGGTGGAGAAGACTTGCATGGAAGACCCGTGACGTGACTGGGTCCTGGGGGCCTCTGCAACTCCCCTGTGCCCCAGACCGGTAGCTTCTGCACCGTCAGCCCTCTGCACCTCCCCCCATCACTCAGCTCAGCCACACCCACCTCCTGTGTGTTCTAAGCCACAGGGTTCTCGCCCACCACAGGGTGTTTGCACCTGCTGTCTTCTCTGCGTAAGATGGGTTTTTTTCTCGGGTGTCTTCCTGCCTGGCCCCCACCTTCAATGGGGTGCCCGCCCCAGTAGCACCTCTGCAGGGAGGGGTCCCCAGCACCCCCGCTCAGCGGCCGTCACTGTCCCGTGGCTTCCTGCTGGTCTGTCGGCCCGACATAAAGCAGGGTGTCCGTGAAATCTTGGGGAACGAAAGCACAGGTCGGAGCCTTCTCCCCTGCTCCTCAAACCCCTTCCATGGCTCCCCAGGGCCCCTAAGACAAAGCCCAAACTCTTTGACCACTGCTAACCAGCCCCCATCCCCCACCCCCGCCCCATCTCCTCTCAAACCTTTTTGGCCACTTCTGCGGTGCCAGCCTGGCTCTGTGTTGTCCCTGGGGCTGCAAACAGGCCCCTCCCACCCACCCACTCTGGGTGCAAACGCACCTTCCCAGCAGCCCCCAGGGCCCCCCAGGCCAGGCCCGCCCCGAGCCCCTTGCTGCGCTGTCCAGGACCCTGTGGGCTTTGGACGCGTCTGTCCCAGCGCAGCTCACTGCTCTGTCTCTTCTGCCAGACTCAGCCTTGAGGGCAGAGACTCAGTGGGTTCTTTCGCGCTGGGCGTGGTTCCAAGACCTGCCTGGCTCCCTGCTGGATGGAAAGAGCCCGCCCTGATCCCCACTTGTGGACAAGGACACTAGAACGGACACCACTGCCGGTGACCGCGTGGCCACGAGACAGCCGAGCGCAGACAGGAATGCAGGCTGCGAGTCTGGCTCTTGGCCACCTCGCTCCCTGAGTGAGGACGTCTACCCTGTCCCTACTCCGCCAGGCCAGGAGCCAGGCCGCGTGGGCGGGCCGAGGCTGAGGGCTGCTGCTGACCTGGGCCTGGCCGTCCACTCCTGCAGGCAGCCCCGGTGACCCTGCAGCTGCTCTTCCTGGACGGCGAGGAGGCGCTGAAGGAGTGGGGCCCCAAGGACTCCCTCTACGGCTCCCGGCACCTGGCCAGGCTCATGGAGTCCATGCCACACAGTCCCGGCCCCACCAGGATCCAGGCTATTGTAAGACCGGGGTCCCGCCGGCTCCCGGCCAGGGAGGGAGAAGGGGAGGTGGAGCGGGCGGGACCCTGCCCGGCTCCCTCCAGTGCTGGCTTCTTCCGCCCACTAGGAGCTCTTCGTGCTTCTTGACCTGCTGGGAGCCCCCAACCCCACCTTCTACAGCCACTTCCCCCGCACCATCCGCTGGTTCCATCGGCTGAGGAGCATCGGTGAGAGCGGAGGGACCCGGGACAGCGCGGGGGACAGGCCGGTCCTCCCACCTCCCACCTCCCTGAGGAACCGGGGCAGAAATGCAAATGAATTCTGCAGCAGCGGTTATGAAACTGGGACCGGGGTGGGGGGCGGGGGCGGGGAGACAGCCCTGGTTTGGAGCCCTGGCTCTCCCTTCTCAGCTGTGTGAGCTCGGGCCGGCGGCCTCCCCTCTCTGAGCCTCAGGTTCCTCTTTGTCAGATGAGCGTGAGGGGAACGGTCCTGTTACCCCCACCCCCAGACCCAGGGGGATGGGGTGAGACAGGAACACGGGGTCCGCCGTGGTTCTGTGGTTGCACAGCCATTGCCTTAGCTCCGGGCCCGCTGCCTGTGTCTGGCTGTGAGCTGTGGGCCCTGGACTGCTGAGGCCTGACCCTTGCCCTCTGGCCCTCCCCGCCTCCAGAGAAGCGTCTACACCGGCTGAACCTGCTGCAGTCCCACCCCGAGGAAGTGATGTACTTCCAGCCCGGGGAGCCCCCTGGCTCCGTGGAGGACGACCACATCCCCTTCCTCCGCAGAGGTGCGTGCTGCCGCGAGGGGCGGGCTCGGAGGCCGAGGTGCTGGGCGTGGGAGCTTTCTTAGCCCCTTTGTGCCTCGACTTTCTCATCTGTGGAATGGGGATGTCTCAGGGGTGTGAGTGTGCTCCCGGGAGGGTACCTCGAACAGTTCATGGGAAAACGGAATTGAAAGCTGTGCTGGGGCCCGTGTTTGGTGCCACTCAGGACCCCTGCATCCCACTCTGGATCACTCCTGATTCCAGCTTCCTGCTGATGTGCACTGGGGAGGCAGCGGGGGTAGCCTAAGTACTGATTGCTGTGTAGACCTGGATGGGGCTCCTGGCTCCTGGCCCCGCCTGACCCAGTCTTGGCCATTGCGGGTATTTGAGGGGTGAACCAGCAGATGGGAGATCTGTCTGTCTGTCTCTCTCCCTTTCAAATAAAAAAAAAAAAATTTTAAAAGACAAGTTTATTTTGGTAGAAAAAAATGCTCAAATACTAAGTTTTCCCATAACAGGCATTTTCCAAGAACTGCCTGCAGTACCCTCGTGTCCATAGAGATCTGACGGGCCCGGTGCCCCACGCGGCCAGCACCCAGGTCCTTGTCGGCTAGCAGTGTCCCGGATGATGGCAGAACTTCTCCCCGCCCCCCCCCGTCTCTTGAGGCCCTGGCAGACCAGCAGGGGCACCTGCATTTCCGGCCTGCTGAACCCACACTCTGCTCTGCATGACTGGGGTTCCGATGGAGAGGTCAGGGTCAGAAGCCCCTGGTGCGGGGCTAAGATTCTGCGTTTTCAAACCAGTCGGGGCTGGATTCCAGGATCCACAGCTCAGGCTTGAGCCCTCGGGCAAAGTCCCTGGCCTCTCTCAGTCCTGGGTTTGGTTTGGTTTTGTTGTCTGGAAAATGTCTCTCTACAAGGAAACTTCCGAAAGTTGGTAGGAAAAATGTAATACACATTTTCCATGACCTTTTCCTTGCATACAAATGTGTAGACATAGGGCTGTGACGGGCAGGTGTGCATACTGCCTGCTCACCCCGGGCTTGGCACAGCGTGAGTGCTAAAATCCACCTTCAAAATGTGTGCTGTGTCAGTTACTCATCCAGCAAATATGCTTATATGCTTTCCTTTTTTTTTTTTTAATTAATTAATTTATTTGAAAGGCAGAGTTAGAGAGAGGCAGAGCCAGAGAGAGAGACAGAGAGGTCTTCTGTCCGCTGGTTCACTCCCCAGATGGCTGCAATGGCCGGAGCTGTGCCGATCTGAAGCCGGGAGCTTCTTCCTGGTCTCCCACATGGGTGTGGGGGCCCAAGCACTCGGGCCAGTCTTCCACTGCTCCCCCAGGCCACAGCAGAGAGCTGGATGGGAAGTGAGGCAGCTGTGCCACAACCCTGGCCCTGGGACCTGGGACTTGAACCCCTGCGCTCTGAGAAGGATGCAGGAGTCCCAAGCAGCGTCCTAAGTCTGCCCCAGCCCGCCCTGCAGAGGGCTCACTGTAGGGACTGTGCCGTGCCGCCTCGGACGGGGGCTGGGCTCCGGGCGGTGCTGGGCTCGTCTGGGTGCTGTTTCTTACTAGAAGGGGCAGTGGTGTGCACCTGCCAGGGAGGAAGTGAGGGGCCTCTTTCTCTTGGTCTCTCCACAGTCCATTCAGCTTACAGTGGCTCTAATTTGTGTCATGGAAACAATAGGTATATTGATTTAAAAAAATAAACATGCACTCAAGAGCCCTATCTTCGGGGCCCACACTGTGGCACAGCAGGTGAAGCTGCAACCGAAGCGCAGGCATCCCATATGGGCACCGGTTCTAGTCCCGGCTGCTCCACTTCCGATCCAGCTCTCTGCTGTGGCCCGGGAGGGCAAGTGAAGATGGCCCAAGTCCTTGGGCCCCTGCACCCAAGTGGGACACCTGGAAGTAGCTTCTGGCTCCTGGCTTCCAGATCGGCCCAGCTCCCACTGTTGCAGCCATTTGGGGAGTGAACCAGCAGATGGCAGACCTCTCTCTCTGCCTCTGCCTCTGCCTCTAACTCTGCCTTTCAAATAAATAAATAAATCTTAAAAAAAAAAAAAAAAGAAAAGAAAAGAAGAAGAAGAAGAACCACCATATCTTCAAGTGTTGAGACAGAACCTGGGCGGGGTGGGGTGGGGCAAGGATACCTGGGTCCAGGCCCCCAGACGGGCGATGGCCTTGACCTCTCTCTCCCCTCAGGGGTCCCGGTGCTCCACCTCATCTGCCACGCCCTTCCCCTCCGTCTGGCACACACCCGCCGACTCGGAGGCCAACCTCCACCCACCCACGGTGCACAACCTGAGTCGCATCCTCGCCGTGTTCCTGGCGGAGTACTTGGGGCTCTAGGCTGCGGGCCTGACCGTGCGGAGCAGCAGCAGGGAGCGTGCCGATGGCACCTGCAGCCCGGGAGCCCACGCCTGCTGCTCGCCCTCGCCCCTCTGTGGCTCCTGCTTGCACTGTCCCTGCAGACCCTCTCTCCGCGGCCACCCTCCAAGGACAGGAAAGAGGCCGCCGTGGGCGTGGGAGCCCAAGGAGGAAGAGCTTGGCCCTTCCCGGAGGTGAACACTGGGTGTGCAGGTGCGCAGGGACCAGACGCTGAGGGCCGGGACCAGCGACACTGCGGGAACAAGCGGGCGCTCTGCGGCTTGCGTCTTGTGTCGGCCGTGCAGACCCAGCTCCCGGGGAGGGGGGCCTCCGGGGCACGTGCCGTGCACGGGCGCAGGGGAGATGGAGGCCGGCCCGTCCTGCTGCAGACCCCGTGGGCGGGCAGAGGAGCGGCGCCTGCACGTAGATTCTGCAGAACTGGAGTGCATCGGCGGTGCGCGGCCAAGGGCCTCGGTGCAGCAGTTCCCAAAGCACTTGGCCGTGGAACCCTTTCAGAAGATCGTTGGAAACACTGGGTTTGCACTGTTAAGAGCGCCGAGGGCGGGAAGGACATGGGGTCACGGCAGAGCGGCTCTGCCAAACCACCTTTTCCAGGGTGGGGGGTGCGGCTGCATTCGCACCCACTCCGCTGGGGTGCCCCTCACAGGCCGGGACCCTGCGGCAGCGGGGGACACCTGCCTAGCACCCAACGTGGAGGGTCATTAGACAGCGAAGGTGACGTCCGCCTCCACTCCAGAACTCGAGGGCTCAGTCTCAGGCCGCGGCCGGACACCAGGTCCCGGACGCAGCTCCCTCAGGCAGCCAGCATGGCCCCCCGTCAGCTCAGTGCCCCCCTCCTGAGGCGGGCGCGATTTCGGCTCGCTCTCTGGGGATGTGGTGATTGAGGCGCGCGTGCTGAGGCTGTCGCACGGGCCGGGGACCGTCCCCGTGGGCCGTGCTCCCCTCCCCCTCCCCCAGCCCTACCTTCCTTCCCCAACCACCTGGGCTACAGGAACAGGGTATTGATCAAAAGCAGCCAAGGCCTTTACGCGGCTTGTGAGTGGCTTTATGCACAATTTCGGCTTGAATCTGGGTCGTCAGCCGCGCCTGACGGAAGCTGGCAGGGACTGGCAGGGTCTTCTGCAAGCGCCAGGCCTCCCAGGCCCCAGAACCTGAAATGCTACAGCACACGACTGATGTCACGTTCCCACCGGGCCTCACGTGGCGGCTCGCGGCTGAGATGCAAGCACATGGAAATAGTGTGCAAAAGTGCCCCCAGGCCGTTTGTGCAAGGTGTGTATGGAACGTAGGCATTTCCTGTTTAGACTGGAGTCCTGTCCTGCCAGTACTGTGTACACGCAAAGGGACCCGCGTCTGAAAACACTGCTGGTCCCAAGCGCTTGGCACAGGGATACTCGCGTTTATCCCCATTTCTCAGATTGAGAAACTGAGCTCCTGAAAAATCAGTGACCCAAGGTCACAGGGCAGGGGGAGCTTCTGTCTGCCTCTGACTCGCGGGTGCCTCATGTCAGTGTGGCGTGCGGCCACCGTGGCTGTGTGGGCTCTGCACTGGCCGCGCCACGAGTCGGGCCGCCGCCCTCTCCTCCCTCGCCTCTCGGGCCCCCTCTGCCCCTCTTCTCTTGTTTTCTGCTCCGTTCTCCCTCCTCCCTCAGCTCTCGTCCAGAAAACTCCCCCTTCAGCCGCACCCCATCTGCGGCCCCTCCCGAGCCCCGAGTCTGTGACCTTCCTCTGTGGTATTTCTCACTCCTAGAAGTCACGTCTACGGCTTCTTCCCAGGCAGGTTTTCAGCCTTTAGCTCTTTGTAAAGAGAGCCGGGAATAAACAGGGCTCGTCGCCGGTGGCCGAGGACTCTGGGTGTTTCTGCTCTCGGTGCGTCCCGCTGCTGCTTGTGAGAAGTTGTTCGCGGGGACACTGAGTTCCTCCCGCCAGGCCGCTCAGCGCGGTCGCCTGTGACACAGGGCGTGGGTCTGTCTACACCTGCGGCAAGGGCGAGTCTCTGACTACAGTGTCCCAGGTCAGCTTTCTCTCTCCTTGGTCCACGGTCCCCTCGGGGTCCTGAACCCGCGGCTCCCTGGGATCCTGCCTCGGGCAGCCCGTGGCCTTGACTGCTGCCCGCTGTGCCTCACCAGTAAGGCTGTGAACGTCAACAGGAAACCCTTCTGTCCCCAGCGGCCAAACCTTCCCCTTCGTCCTCAGCTTGGTGGGCGCCGGCTGGATTTTACTTGATGCTGTTAAGGAAATTATTCTACGTGCTGTTTTCAGCAAGAGGGTCTGAACAACCTGGCTTAGCCACCACAGGGGACCGAAGCTCCCTGACCCGGGGCCAGCGCTCAGACCCAGGTCTGTCTCACTCAGCTCAGCGGTGAGGGCTCTGACCCCTCCGTAAGGACGCCAGGAACTGCCTGCGGCCTCTCTATGTCCGTTTTCTCTTTTCTATTTAAATTTAAAAATGTGGCGGGGCCCGTGCTGTGGCACAGACTGAGTTGTTGCCTGTGACGCCACCGTCACAGCTCCACTTCCGTCCAGCTCCCTGCTAACGCGCCTGGGAAGGCAGTGGAGGACGGACCACGTGCTGGGGGCCCTGCACCCGCGTGGGACACCCGGATGAAGCTCCTGGCTCCTGGCAGCTTCTCTAACTCTGCCTTTCAAATAAATAAATATTTAAAAAGTGTTTCCTCCCCCTTTTCACCGAGTATTTTTAAACTTCCACTCGTACGGCTGCGTTTCCGTCTCCGGGTCTCCTTCGCCTTCCCCAGGCTGCTCCGGCCCACGAGGTGCACGCAGAAGCGGAGGGAAGGGGTCTCCCTTCCTGCAGCACGGTGACAGCAGGCTGCCCGCAGTCCCCCGGGACCGCCAGGACAAGGGCTGGCGCAGGAGGAGCCTGGGTTCCGGGTGACCGGAGGGCCACTGCACTGCCCACTGACTCCTTTAAAAACACACAAACATCTATCTCTTGTTCGGGTGCTATTTTGAGGTTTTCGTACCCCAGCTGACGCAGGTGCGAGGGCCAAGCGCGGCCTTCGGCTAAGGACCCCTCCCCATCCCGCGTGCGCGGGCCTCTGACCCCGCCTCTCCCCACCCCCTGCCCTTCACAACACACAAACCAGTCTGGGCCCAGCCTTATAAATACTGATTTTATAGAAAGGACCGATTGAAAACTGGTCAGATGCCACACGCTAGAAGCTTCCAGAACCACAATGGTGAAAACACAAAACCAACCCAGAACAAAGATACCCCCAAACCAAACCGCCTGAAAATCAAGGTCCCAGTTAACCAAAGGATTCTTTAAAAAAAAAAAAAAAAAAACACACGAGGCTGGGGCTGAAGAGACCGCCCACGCCTGCACAGGTACCGGGCGGAAGGAGAATCGCACACCCTCCCCCGCCCGGCCCTCTGGCCCTGCTCTGGGCAGAGCCAGGCGAAGGGGCTTCACAGCTTTGGGGGCGCCGGCGAAAGCTTAAATAATGGGAGGAGGGGGCTGTCCACACTGAGAATTTTTTTCTCTTCCCCTGTAAGGAAGGGGAGAGACTGGTAGCCAGGGGTCTTTTACTTCCTTGTAGGCCTCCCGGCGGCTGCGACGGAGGGCCCTCAGCGCCCAGCCAGGAGGTGGGCCCTGCTGCAGACCCGCGGCCTCCCGGGAGAGGGGTCCGGAGGGGGGGCCCTTGAGTGGTACCAAAAGTAGCTGCCATCTGCTCCCTGCGGCGGCTCCCTGGGGTGGGGAGTTTGGCAGGGAGGGAGTCGGGGCTGACGGGAGAAGAGACTGAGATGCTGATAAACAAACAAACAAAAACCAAAAAAAAAGCAAACCCTCGCGGAGGGCCCGCGGGCCAGGGGCTGAGGCGCAGAACACCAGCAGGGTCGGGCTCTGGGCCCCGCCCCGAGGTCCGCGCGGGCGGCTCCGGCCGCGGCCCGGCCTCACCTGCCCTCCTCGCGGCCCGCGCGGCCCCCGGCCGGCCCGCCGCACGGCAGCACCCAGTTGTTGTCGTGCAGGCCCAGGCGGCAGCCGGGCGTCTCGCGGTCGGCGCGGCGGCAGCACATCCAGTAGGAGCGTCCGTAAGGCAGGTCGTGGTGGTAGGGCTTGGGGTGCCAGCGGCAGAGCGACACGTCGCCCTTCTCGTACCTCTTGCGGCACTGCTTGCACGGGTCGTCCCGGTAGAGCGGGTCGCGGCTCCAGCGCGAGTCCGTGGCGCGCACGCCGAACGCCTCGATGATGCCCTTGAAGTGGTGGCAGGTGCACTTGAGCGCGGCCAGGGCCCGCGTGGGCAGGAAGCTGAAGATCTTGACCAGCACGTGCTCGGGCAGCAGCAGCATGTACTGGCGAGGCTCCAGCAGCCGCTGGATCTTGAAGCGGATCTCCAGGAAGTCGTGGGACACGTGCCGGTACAGGCGGCACAGCGAGGTGTCCGCCGGCCCCTCCGCGTCGTCCGGCGCCGGCGCCGTGGCCGGCGCGTCGGCTGGGGGCGGCTCAGGGGGCCCGTCCGCCCCCCGGGCCTGCAGGAAGAAGAGCTGGCCCGGCGGGGGCGGCTCCTCGGGGCTGACCGTCAGGCACACGGTCTCCTCCTTCACGTTCTTGGTGCCGTCCTTGCCGAAGAAGGTGCACTCGTCCACCACGCCCGTCACCACCACGTCCACGTGGAAGCCGGAAGCGCCGCAGTCCCGGGCCGGGGGCGGAGGGGGCGCCGGGGGAGCGTCCTCGGGCCGGGCGGCCGCTGGGGCGTCGGCCTCGCCGGCTTCCTCCGCGCGCGCCAGCAGGAACTCCACGTTGCTGGGGAGCGCGTCCCGCGAGGGGCTGATGAGCTGGTACAGGTCGCAGGTGATCTTGTCCTTGGCCCGGGCGCCGGGGCCCGGGCTGCCCGGGTAGGCACTGCCAGGCCGGCCGCCGCCCGCACTGGGCAAGCCGCCGTCCGGCCCGCGGGGCTCCCGGCCGTTGGAGATGCGGAAGGCGATGCGCACCTCCCCGGGGCCGGGCCCCGGCCGCTCCTCCTTGCGGAGGCCCTTGGCTGGGGGGCTGTCCCGCTGCGCCTCGAAGTGGGCCACGGCCTCGGCCACCCGGCTGCAATCCCCACCACCACCACCGGACCGGCGTTCGGACCCCAGCCCCTTGGCCGGCCCACCCTGCTCGGCCGACACGAAGACCATGGGCGCCGGGGTGGCGGGGCGCGGGTAGGTCTGCAGGGCCAGGGCGGCCCGCTGCTCCACCAGGGCCACCATCTCGGCCACCGAGAGCAGGTCCGCGTCCTCAGCGGCTGACGTGGGGCCTCCCTCGGCGGCGGGGGGCCCCTCCCGGCCCCCGGGGTCTGGAGGAGCCCTGGTGGGCTCGAGACAGCGCCTCCTCCGCTTGGCCTTGGAGCTGTCGCTGCCCCAGTGGCCCTTGACCTTCATGGAGCTGGCCCGGCCGCCCCCACCGCACTGGTGGGCCACGAAGAAGGCCACCTTCTCTTTCGTGTTCCCGGGCTTGATGACGTACCACGTGTCCAGCAGCACGCGGCCTTCGTCCCCAGCAGCCGCCGCGGAGAGGAGGGGGCCGGGCTGGGAGGCGGGGGTCTCAGCGGCCAAGGCAGGCGGCGTGTTCTCCGAGTGGGCGGGGCCATTGTCAGGCTCCGCCCCGGGGCCGGGCTCAGTGCAGGTGGAGGGCTTGAGGGCTGCGGCAGGCGGGCGGGGCTGGTTCTGGGAGAAGGTGCCGAAGGGCCGGGGGCACCAGAGCTGGAAGGGCAGGAGGCTGCCGCGGTCCATCGCGGGGCGGACGGCAGACGGCCATGGGCTTCACCGCATCTCAGCGCCTCCGTGGCGCTGGGGGGCTGCGCGCCACCTGGAGATGGGAGAGGAGGAGGGGCGAGTTGGCTTTCCCTCGGGGGAGCACCCAACCCCTACCTGTCCTGAGGGGGCCGCTCAGGTGAGCAAAGAGAGGGGCGCAGAGGGTCGGGGACCCCCGCCGGGGCTCGCTCCCTCCCCAGGCCCCCCCCCCCCCCCCGCCACTGCAGCTCTGCCAAAGCCACAGTTCCCTGACAGCTCCTCTCTTTCCCACCGGGTACCCGGTCCCCGATCCTGAATTCCCAGCCCTGATGGCGCCTGGGCCCATGGAGGGAGGCCCGGGCCAAGGCGGGGCTGGACAGGCCCTCCAGCGACGGGACTCGGGCTCCTTGGGGATCTCGAAGCAGCTTGCACACATGGCCTCGCAGGGCGGCCACAGCCCTGGGGTTAGAAGCGGGTTCTAGTCCAGCCCCTCCCCCAAGTGGCACACAGGTAAACTGAGGCCCCATCACAGGATGGTTACATGGCTGGGACCGTGGTGAAACCAGGCTCTCAAACGCGGCGGGCCTGTTTTGATGGTGACTAGTTTCTCTGCATGACCTGATGGGGTGCTAATTCCCAGTAAGAGGCGCCTGCCTCCGCCGGGGGCTCTGCTAGGCCCCTCTCCCTGCGAACACCCCCAAAGCGAAAGAAAACCCCAAGCCTCAAGCCTCCCTCATGCCTCTGGACCAGAGAGGCTGGCAGACTCCAGCCCGGAGGGCCAAAGCCAGCTCCCCAGCTGCCTCTGCAAATAAAGTTTTATTAACACACTGGCGGCTGCTTCCTGTGGCCTGCAGAGCCTGGACCACGCATCATCCGGCCCTTTTGGGAGCAGCGTGCTGACCCCTGCAGACGCCAGGCACAGCCCTAGACATGCCTCCCCCCACAACCTGGGCCCCTCCCATAACCGCCCCTGTGCCTCAAACACAGCCCCTGCAGAAACCCCAATCCACTGCTAAAAAAAAAAAATCACCGCGCAGCCACCCAAACCTATAGATGGCCACGTGTACCAACCACCGCAACAGACACACCCACGTGTTAACACAGGAAGGCCATCCCCACGGCTGCTGCCCCCACAGCCCACTAACCCCCCCATCAGTTCCTAGCCTCCTCTCCAGTGTCTCCGTGCCCTCCCCGATACCCAAACCCTTCCAAATCCTGCTTGAAATCCCCAAACCTAAAAATATCCTCCCGCGGCTCCCAGGCTCCGGCACACACACACACCGCTCACAGATGCCTCAAGCAGCCCCCCAGGTGCCCCCCACACCCACAAAGCACCCTGGGTGCAGACGTACTAACAGAGAGCCCAAACCCAGCAATGCTCCTCCCAGCCAGCAGCATGTGCTGCCTGCAAGCTCTCAGCGTCCCTAGCCCCCGCCCCAGCTCCAGGAGGCACCCCTAGCCCCCGCCCCAGCTCCAGGAGGCACCCCTGGCCCCCGCCCCAGCTCCAGGAGGCGTCCCTAGCCCCCGCCCCAGCTCCAGGAGGCATCCCTAGCCCCCGCCCCAGCTCCCGGGAAGCACCCCTAGCCCCCGCCCCAGCTCCAGGAGGCGTCCCTAGCCCCCGCCCCAGCTCCCGGGAAGCACCCCTAGCCCCCGCCCCAGCTCCAGGAGGCGTCCCTAGCCCCCGCCCCAGCTCCCGGGAAGCACCCCTAGCCCCCGGACGGGCGGCGCTGGGTCCCCTTTCCCGCCCAGGCACAGGGCGGCTGAAGCCTCGCTGGGGTCACACAGCCGGAAAAGTCCAGGCGAGGTCAGCGCCCAGGCCCCCTGGCCCCTGGATCGGTTTCCCCTCCCGGGGCTGCCCAGATCCTACACCGACCAAACACCCCAATCCTAAAATTCCCACGTTCGGGAAGCACCCAAAGTATCCCGCAGCCACGCGACTTCCTCACACCCAAACTATCCCTGAAACGCGGAGAGTGGGCCCGCCCTCCACGCGGGAAGCTCCCACACCCCTCAGGTGACCCCGAAGCCTAGACACGCCCCCAAAGCGCCCTCACCCGCGGCGCCCCCCCAGACGGCGGGAGGGGCGGGAGGCGGCACACACGCATGCGCGCCGCGGCCTCGGGCCCGCCTCCTCGCCTCATCGCCTTTGGCGCTCCGCGCGGGTGGCGCGCGACTACTTTGCTCCGCCCCTTTGTTGACAGACGCGCGCGTGACGGCCCCAGCCAATGAGCGGCCGCCGTTCGGGGCCGTGCCCATATAAGGAAGGCCTTGGCGAAGGGGCCCAACTTCGAAATAGGGAGGAGTAGGCGAGAGGTGACGGGAGGGAGCGGTGGGATTCGAACAGCCGGGTGTGAGGGAGTGTGGAGCAACTCCCAACGCCCTGCTAGGCGGAGGCACGGGCCAGGGCAGAGGCCGCGGCCCTCACAGGGAAGCCTATTACGAGACGTTCCCTCCAGCCAGAAACCTTGATTGACAGTTGAGATTTAAAGGGCCAAGCGGCCTCGGGACGGAGGACTCCCGGGCAGACGGAGAGCGCGCCGCTTTGGCTGGGAACCGGGCGGCTGAGGTCTCCAGTGGGCGAAACTGGACGCCGGGATCACCTCGCTGTGGACGGGGCAGACCAGAGCGCTGCGCCGGCCCCCGCGGCAGTGAGTCCAAGCCTCCGGGCCTGCGTCCAAGGCGGACCTGTTGGAACGGGCGCCGAACCTGACTCACGCCACAGCAAGAGAAGGGGGATCAACCCAACGAGGAGTTTAAAGTTCTGCGCACCCGCTCGTTTACGACTGCACGTGCTGCTCGCAGCACTAGGCGCTAAGCGCTAGGCGCTCCGGACACCCGGCAGGCCTCTCCTGCGCGCCCCCTGCCCCCAGCCCCCAGCCCCCAGCCCCCTGCCCACAGCCTCCTGTCCTAGCCTTGCCTGCTTCCCGTCATCCCGCACATAAAACAGCAGGGTCTCACCAGCCTACAAACACTGGCCCTGCTCAGCGCCTGCCGGGAGAAAGCCTGGGCGCCCAACCCGGCCCGCACTCCGCGCCCCTGAGAGGCCCAGGTGGGCTTCTGGTCCGACACCAGCGAGGGTGGAATCCCGGGCCCCGTGCGATCCTCTGCAGCGACCACCCCCGGGACCTCGGCTCAGCCATCGCCCTCTCCAGGCTGGCTCAGCCATCGCCCTCGCCCACGCTGGCCCGTGCTGCCTGTCAAGCTCACCCTGTGCGGGGCACCCCCAGCCCACCAGATCTCCACCTGGCGCCATGCCTTGGTCTGTGCTCAACTGTAATTATAGAAGAGGCTTCCCCTGGCTCCCTTTCTGGAGACGGCCCACCTGCCCAGAGCGAGACTCCTGGGCTCCCCCGTCCCTGCCCTGCCCACTCCGAGTCAGCGCTGTCTGGGGAGGGGCAGGCTTCCCCCTCCCCTGGATTGGGTACAGGGGTGGGGCGTGATGCGGGAGACCCTACACTAGGTCCGCCTACTCCGGGAGGAGCCGCCTACTCCGGGAGGAGCCGTTCACGAAAGCCATGACCCTGGAAGAGGGAGACGCTGAGGACTGACAAATGCAAAGCCAACAGTAGGGCGAGGGACAGAGACGGGGCAAAACAAACCAATGCAGCACCCACAGAGTTGTCAACGTTCGCCATCCTAACACCACGGCTCCAAAATACAGGAAGCAAACCCCCACCACCCCCGCACACCTCGGCCATAAACCTGTGAGGACCACAGGCTGGCTGGCAGACCCGCCGCTGTAGCGCGAAATTTCAGAGGCGATCGCTTGAGAAAATGAGACGAGGACCCGAGCCTGACCCCTGATCGAATTCTCCCAGCAACTAAAGACCTTTCTGTGCCCAGCACGCAGCGGGCAGCGGCGAACACTCGTCTCCGACATTCCCCGAGCTCCTCTCGGGTGCTGGCCCTGGGCTCGGCGCTGGGGACACACAGGTGACACTGAGTCACCAGGGACAGTCACGGGAAAGGGCCCGACAGCAGCAGCTAATCCTTGAGCACTCAGCAGGTGCGTGCCTTGCGCTCAGCACCTCACAAATCACAGCTCATTGGATTCTCACGCCGGCTACGTTTAATGTCAGGCCAGAGGGGCAGGCCGGGGCTTAGGGCGGCTGAGTAACCGCGCTCGGCGGTGAGTCTGGCCGAATCCAGGGCCCACGGCTTCCCTGGAACAAGCAGGGGTGCGGAAGGCTGCCTCGGGTGCTCCTGGCCTCTCCCTGAGCCCTGGCACTCGCTGCTCCCCCGCCCCGATGCTCTCGCCCAGTGCCCGGGGTCCAGCCCTCAGAGCACACTGCTGAGGGCGGCTCTGACTTACAGCCGGCGCCCTCCGCCCAGCAGACCCGGATCCACACCCAGCCCCCTTTTCTGAGCTGTCATTGTGCTGTCGGCGCGGCTGACTATTTAAGACACAGCGGAATCCACGCATGCAGGTTCCAGATCCAAGGACTGAAAACATTCAAACAAATGCGTGGCCGGCGCCGCGGCTCACTAGGCTAATCCTCCACCTGCGGCGCCGGCACACCAGGTTCTAGTCCCAGTCGGGGCGCCGGATTCTGTCCCGGTTGCCCCTCTTCCAGGCCAGCTCTCTGCTGTGGCCCGGGAGTGCAGTGGAGGATGGCCCAGGTGCTTGGGCCCTGCACCCCATGGGAGACCAGGAGAAGCACCTGGCTCCTGCCTTCGGATCAGCGCGGTGCGCCAGCCGCGGCGGCCAGTGGAAGGTGAAGCAACGGCAAAGGAAGACCTTTCTCTCTGTCTCTCTCACTGTCCACTCTGCCTGTCAAAAAACAAAACAAACAAAAAACACAAATGCGCATATCCTGAGCCTGTTGACATGTTCCCTGTTACTCCCTACACAATGCTGACACCTGTTTACCTAGCGTTTACACTGTGCTGAGTATTATACGCCATCTAGACACCACGGGAAGTGCACAGGGGTACGGGGTATGCACGGGGTTTATGCAAATACTACACTGTTTGTGTAAGGGGCTGGGGCGGATCTGCGGGGGTCCTGGGACCGGTGTCCCCAGCGTTCTCAGGGACAACCGCACAAGCTACACTTGCTAAAGTCCCTTTTCCAGCTCCTCCTACGACAACACAAGCTGCCCAGAGCCTGCGTTCTGTCCGTGCTTTTCACTGCTGTGTCCCGAGCTGCGGGAGCGGTGCCGGGCGCTCAGCCACTCCCAGTGCGGTTCCCCGAGCAGCGGCCACATGGCATCGCACCGCCGGGGAGCTCGGGCCCTGCCCCGGGCCGGCCGGATCCCCGCGTGCGGGCGACAAGCTCCGCAGGAACCGTGCGCACGTCCCAGCTTGAGAAGCGAGGCCCGGCACACGAATGCCGCACGCCGTCCGGCTGCTGCACGTGTGCTGTCCAGCCCCTCTGCAGGAAGCCGGCTGATGGCAGACACCACTCTACACAACGCCACCTCCTCCAGGAAGCTGTCCTGGCATTGCCCGCGCTCCCTGGGGCCCCTGCCTGAGGCTTCCGCCTGCTGCCGCAACTGTCACCTGTTACGGAGGCGCGATGATGGCGTGGCTGAGGGCCTCTCTCCTCTCCGGCCTGGGGGTTTCTGGGAGGCTGGGGCCTCTCTTCAAAGGCGCGGCTGCTGTAGCCTCTGCACGTGGCTCCTGGGGCCTCCGCCAGCTTTCCCAGGAGAGCCAGCGGGGTCTTCCCAGCACACACGGGACCACTCCCCTGCCCGAACCTTCCCATGAGAGGCCCCAGTTCTCAGGAAACTACGGCCCAGGAACTGTTCCTGAGGCAGCGCTGGAGGATTTGTTTTCACCAAAATGAAATAAACTGAGGGGGAAAAGACATCGGTTGGAGGAAATGAGACCCAGCCCAGAAGAGAGGCAAAAAGGAGGCTGTGGACGCAGGAGGGGCGGTCCTAGGAGGGCAGCCGGGCAGCGGGTCTGGGGAGCCCACGAGCACAAGTAAGTATACACAGAAGAGGGGATGGACAGACATTTAAGAAGCCTGGGTCCAGGGGCCGGCGCTGTGGCGCAGTAGGTTAATCCTCCGCCTGAGTGCCGGCATCCCATATGAGCGCCGGTTCAACTCCCGGCTGCTCCACTTCCGATCCAGCTCTCTGCTATGGCCTGGGAAAGCAGTGGAAGATGGCCCAAGTCCTTGGGCCCCTGCACCCACATAGGAGACCCCGAAGAAGCTCCTGGCTCCAGATGGGCCCAGCTCTGGCCCTTGCAGCCATTTGGGGAGTGAACCTGCGAGCGGATGGGAGAGCCCTCTCCCACTCTCCGTCTATAACTCTGCCTCTCAAGTAAATAGTAACAATCAGTGGAGTCCTGGCTCTGTTTCCGACTCCAGCTTCCTGCCAATGCGCCCTGGGAGGCAGCAGCTGGTGGCTCAGGTACTAGGGTTCCCACCACCCCGGGCGGAGCTCTGCGCTCCTGGCTCCCGCCTGGTCCGGCCCCTGCTCCCTGGCCATCTGTGGAGTGAACCGTTGGGTCTAAGATCTCTCTCCCCCTCTGTCTCGCTCTATCTCTGTGCCACTCTGGCTTTCGAATAATAAAAATCCTTCAAAAAGGAAAAGAAAAAGGCCACAAATCAGCAAGCAAAGCATCCAGCTGAGGAAGCTGAGGGCGAAAACAACCCAAGAAACCGGAGCAACAGGGCCGCAGAGAGAGGGCAGGGGCCGCGCCCACGGGACCAGGCCCTCCCCCGAGTGGGCGGGGCCACTTCCGGCGCTCATGCAGGACCCCCGCCTCGCAGCCCCTCCTCGCCCATCCTGCTTGGCCTCAGGGCCGGCTGGCTCCTCCCTCGGGGAAGTTTTCCTTTCTGACTAAAGCCCCCTGAAGGGAGGAAAATCATCCCAGTCCTGAAGGAACTCAGGCGGGAGCGTGTGCGCACATGTGTGTGTGTGCGCATGTGTGCACATATGTGCGCGCGTGTGTGTGCATGTGTGTGCGTGCGCATGTGTGATACACACACAACCTGCTGGTCTCAGCTTTCCCACATCCGGCAGTGTGTGTGGGTGACCCCAGGCAAACCCTCCATGCCTCAGTTTCCTCCACGGACGGCAGCATCCACCCACGGATCGGCTGAGGATGGAGGCGGGCGAGCGCCCGTGCCAGGATGGCCCGAGTGTGGGTTCACCTTCGGGGCACTGAGATCGCACACAACGGGAGGCTGGGGGCCTGGAAGCGCCAGCCGCAGGCTGCCCCCCCTGCACGCCGCCTTCTGGGCTTCACCTCACCCCCAACAGCCGCTCGCTAAGCAGAGGGCCCGTCCTGGGTTAGCACTGGGTCCCGGGCGGGCGGGTCGCCCTCACTTTGGGGACAGAGAGCAATTACTCTGCTAACCAGGCCTGGCTCCAGGCAGGGTGGGGGTGGGAGTTTGAGCACGCACAGACCAGGAGACAGAAACCCCTGCTCAGGGCCGGCGCACGGCGAGTCCGCGGGGGCCAGTGCTGGGGGGACCTGCTGCTACAGGGGGGTCGCCCGTGTGTGTGGCGCTGATGGCGGGGTCCTGGCTGTGGCTGGAGGGGTCAGGGATGGCTGACGCCATGAGCCAAACCTTGTGGAAAAATCTGTGCTTTTAGGGACAGGCCGGCGTTCTCACAGCCGCTAGAAACACACCATCAGGAACGGTAAAAGGACCGCTTTGTATGAGTAAGCTTCAAACCAGCGCCGGCTGCAAACAAATTTGCGGTTTCAAAAAAAGGCAAAATAGCGTGGAAAGCAGACACGGTTTCTAAGACACACAGATGACGGCAAGAGGAACAACAAAAAGAAAAAAGAAAGTCGGATCACCGAGGGGCACCCCGATGCGACATGGGAGGGCTGGAGACGGGACCCTCAGCACCCAGGCACGCGACACCCGGCTGGCAAAGCTGGCAGAAGGGGCTGAAATGAACTGGGGACAACAGAACCCAAACTGTGCAACCCCGCCCCAGTGCTGTCGACAGCGAGCCCCGTGTGCAGTGGGCAGAGCGCACAGGGGGCGCTGTTAGCTTCAGAGGCGCTGGCGTCCCTGTCGGACTGCCCGCCTGCACAGCATGTCCCGGGAACAGCAGACGAAGGCCTAGGAACTTGGTCCCCACCTTCCACGTGGGAGACCCAGGCGGAGTTCTGGGCTCTGAGGGCGGCGGGCCTCTGGGGCGTGCAGCCGCAGTCACAGATCTAAGTCTCCTCCCTCTTTCAGCAGGAGGCTGCCTCAGAAGTGAGGCAGTGCCGGGGCCGCAGCAGGGCCTTAACCTGCGTCCTCACAACACCGGCCCCGGCACGCTTTTCTCCAAAGACTAAATACCACAGGAGGACCTCACTCTTTGCACACCTTTTCTCATCGACTCCTTACAGGGACCTCCTGGGGCGAGCTGTGGCCCCATTTCACAGATGAGAAAACCGAGGCCCGGAACGGCATAGCAGCTCGGTCAAGAACAGGGAGCGACAGAGCTGGGGATCTGAACCCGGGCCTGCCTGGCGCCAGCGCTTTTAATCAAAGCCTTTACCACCAGGGCCATTGCATGCTGCAGGAGGCTCACAGCAAATGAACCAAACTGTTTCAAGGCGATTTACAAAGTTGCCACACTGCCCAGTGAGGACCCAGTGCCCAAAAAGGTGAGATAAAACAGTCAGCAGACAGATACACCCAGTTGTTAGAAAAATCGCCTGTCCATCGAAACACCTGGAGCTGGGCCAGGCTGGACATCGGCCTGGGAACTGCTCATCCTTGGCAGGAGACAGGAACGGGCCGAGGGACAGTTCTGAGCGCCGTCTCCAACTCAGGAGCCCGGGGATAGGGAAGGGAGAGAACCCGGCAGACAAAGACAAGACAGCTGCCTGCCGCCTTCTCTGTTCCGGAACACACGCTGCTGTGCCCAGTCTCCAAGCTACCTTCACCACCCAGCAACCCCAAGCCCTCCTCACGCATCACCTCCGTGGACCCACAGACTTTCTGGAGCCTCCCAATCCCCCAAAGACTTGTCCAAGGTCACACGGCAAGCGACTGGAAGAGCTGAAATTCTCACTCAAGTCTGCTTTGGTCTTCAAGCACGGGGCATCAGACTCTGAGCCAGGCTGCGCGGGCCGGAATCCGGAGCCTGCCGCGTACTGCTGGGTGACCTTAGGAAAACTGCTTAACCTCTCTGTGCCTGGCTTCCTTTCGCTCACATAAGAGCCGATCACAGCACCAACACCCCAGGGGTGCTGTCACAATGCACTCAGTACCCACAAACAGCGAAGAACCGAGCTGAGCATCTGCTAAGCCCGGAAGGGTTCATCGCCAACCACGTGGAAGCCCTGGCTGCATCTGACCTGGGCTGTGTCCCCATCAGAGCCAGGTTTGGGGCAGACGCCCCTGGGGCTGGGCTGAAGAGGAGGGGCTCCTTTGGCACCTGTGACCCAGCCACATTCCTGGGGAGGACAACTTCCCGGGGCAGCTCGGAGACCAGCAACGGCTGGGCTCCCGCGAACAGTAACCATTGCAACGACCCTCCCCTTAGCCCCATCTCCCCGGCCCGCTGGCTGTTCCCATAATACAGATAAACGCACTAAGGCTCAGACCCGAAGACCGGTCACAGAGCAGTGGCAGAACGGGGGCTTTCGATGCTGCACTGCCCACCAGGCTCCTCCAAGTCCCACCGGGGACCCGAGGGTGCCAAGGATTATCTCCGCGGCCCCGCCTGGCCACACTGTCCCGTAGTTCTGGGGCTGGGAGCCTCGGGCTGGACCCGGCCAATTACCTCTATATCCGGCGCCCGTTCTCGCGTTTGGTACCCCGCCCCGGCCCCGGAGTCGGACCCACGCCCGGGCGCACCACCTATTTCTCTCTCGCACCTCCTCCGCTTGCCCTCCTGCCCCCAAACGGATCCAGGGACTCCAAGCCATCGCACCTCCGGCTGGCCTCTCCCTTGGCGCCTTCAGGCCCCCTCATCCATCCCTGACCCCTGGACAACCCCCGCCCCTCGAAACTGCCCCCTTCGGGGCCTCTGCCTGGACGGCCAGGCCCGTCTGCAACTCGGGGCCCCCTTCCCTAGCTCTGAGCCCCTCAGAGTCAGTTCCCAAGCTCGCCTCCCTCCCCACCTCCAAGCCCCCATTCTTCACTCCCTCCGGCTCCCCTTCCTCCCGAACCCCTCTCTCCAGCGACCTCCACTCGGCCGGCCCCGTCTGTGGCTCCTGCCTCTTCCCTCTCGCCACCTGGTCCTGAACCCCCGCCCTGACTCTCACGCGCCCCCTGCCCCCGCCTGGGCTCTCACCGTCTCCCCGCGCTGCAGCTGCCTCGGCTACGCGGGTTTCCCCCACTCGTTCCTCTCCAACCTCCCCTTCCGGGTTCTCGCCCCTAGGCCCCTTGGGAATTGGAGTCCGGGCGGCCGCGGACTACAACTCCCAGAAGGCAACGCGGTCGAGCTTGGAGGTTGGGTACGAAACGAAGTAGGCGGGCTGAGGGCGAGGGAGGACTGACTCCCCGGGGGGCAAAGGGGCGGAGGGAGGACATGTGGCAGCGCAGGCGCAGTAAGCTCTCCGCGAGGCGTGCCGGGAGATGGAGTCCAGCCTTCTCCATTTTGGCCCGGGCCCCGGAAAAGGAATTGAGAAAATCGCAAAGGGCGTTGGTGCGGGGAAGAGTCGCGGAGGAGAAAGTTGATCGACTCACTCTTGCTGACTGACACGTTAATTAGCAGTGCCTTGTGCTCTCCCTAAACACTCTCCCATCGATGCCCACCTAGCGGGTGCACCTCCCACTGCACAAATGAGAAAAATAAACCTTTAGGAAGCAGGAACGCCCGTGCGCCAGGCCCACAGCACAGAAAAAGCACGCGGGAAGCTGAATGGGAAGACGGGCTTATTCCTGTGCAAGAACGCTTAAAATCCATGCATGGTTTTCTCACGATACGCGTTTTCCAGTCTGAAGACGCTTCCGGAAGCCCCGCCGAGGCAGGGGCCCCTGCGCCCCTAGAACCGTGTCAATGCGTTTGCTACGTGCTAGCTGCACGCCACACCCCTGCAGACGATCGGAGTAACCGCTCCACGTTCATGAAAGCTAAGGCAGGGAGAGGGCAAGGCCAGACCCTGGCAAATATGCAAGAAAATTATTTGCACTGCAATGCGTGGGGCTCCAGGGCCTCTCCTCTGTACCAGGCGGCTGATCGCCTCCGCGAGGGCGTTTTCCAATCCGGCCCTCCTTCTCATGGGCCAACAAGAATGAGTGTTCTGGGGTGGACGCTGTGGCGCCTCGGGTTAAAGCCCGGGCCTGCAGCGCCCGTATCCCACATGGCCGCCGGTTCGAGTCCCGGCTGCTCCACTTCCCATCCAGCTCCCTGCTGTGGCCTGGGAAAGCAGCAGAAGATGGCCCCAGCGCTTGGGCCCCTGCACCTGCGTGGGAGACCAGGAGGAAGCACCTGGCTTTGGACGGGCTCAGCTGCGGCCATTGTGGACATTTGGGGAGTGAACCAGCAGATGGAAGACCTCTGTCTTTCAAACAAATGAAATAAATCTTTGTTTCCGTCTCCAGGAATTTAACTGCTAGTGGGAACGCCAGTTCCCTCCTAAGGGCCCTCCTCCCTGAGTCCCGGTGCTGAGCACGCGGTCGCCCTGGTTGGCTATGCACCGGTTAAGGAGCGCCGGCGGCGAGGGACGCCGGCTCTGTCTGTCTGTCTGTCTCTCTCTGTCTCTCTCCCGCTCGGAGGCGGTGTTTGGGAGCCCTCGTCCTCCTTGGTAGCCAAGGACCTGGAAGGTGGAGAGCCCCGCGGGGCTGCGCAAGGAGAGGCCAGGGAGCCGGCGGCTAAAAAAGGCGGGCGGCAGAGCGGGCGCTGATTGGCCGGCGAGGCCGCGCGGGGCGCCCCCGGGGCGCGCGTGCACGCGCCCTGCACGCCCCGCGGGCCGGAGCCCCGCTTGGCGGGAAGCGGCGGGGGCGTGGCCGCCCTCAGGAGCGCCCCTCAGGCCTCCCCGGGTCGGGGGCGCGGGGGCGCGGGGGCCCGAGGCCGTGCGCGCGCCGCCCGCCTCGCCCGGGACCTGCGCGGCGCGCGGGATTCTGATTGGGCTCCAAAGTGTGGAGCCGGCGGGAAGCCAGAAGGGGGACACCCTCACGCCATTTTGCACGACGCCCCGAGGCGGGTGCCGGAGGCTCAGGGGGACCGGGCGGAGGGCTCCCCCTTGCACTATCTGGCCTCTGGGGAGGCCAGGGGTCCCCAACACGGGAGTGGCGCTTTGCGGCCGGCGCTTCCCTCTGGGGGCTTCGAGGGCTCGAGGTGTGGGGTGGACCCCTGGGTGCAGGGCCGTGGGTGAGGCAGGGTCTAGCCTTGGGGATCCCGGCTGAGATTCGACCCGCGGAAGCGCTGTGGGCAGTGGGGGCGCTGAGAGTGCGCCCCGGGTCTCCAGTTAGAGGTTGGGGTCTGGGGGTTTGGCTGGGGAGGGGACCCGTTTTGGAACGTGAGGTCTTGAGTCTGTGAGCCGGGCTTTGCAGCTGGGATGTGGAGATCCTAACGCGGGCGCACTGCCCAGGGGCCTGGCTGGGGTCTGACCTGGGGGGAGGGGGCCTCGGCGGATTCCAGCGCAGGGCACAGGGTCGCAGTTTGGGTCTCTGGGAATCCGCGGCAGAGTCTGGCATCCCCGGGCTGAGGGCGGGGGCTTCGATGTTCGGGTCTGGGGTCTCGTTTGAGGGCCTGCGGTGACGGCCTGGAGTTCTAGACGTCTTTATTTTAGGATCTGAATCCGTGTTCAGGACTTGGGTTTGCTGTGGAGGGGCCTGAACTTGGCACTTTAGGATCTGGGTTCTCAGTGTTAAGGTCTGTGGACTATTTTAAAAAAAAAATTATTTATTTATTTGAAGACAGAGCCACAGAGAGGCAGAGGCAGAGAGAGAGAGAGAGAGAGAGGTCTTCCCTCCGCTGGTTCGCTCCCCAGTTGGCCGCAAGGGCCGGAGCTGCGCCGATCCGAAGCCAGGAGCCAGGAGCTTCTTCCTGGTCTCCCACGCGGGTGCAGGGGCCTGAGGCCTTGGGCCATCTTCTACTGCTTTCCCAGGCCACAGCAGGGAGCTGGATTGGAAGTGAGCAGCTGGGACTCGAACCGGCGGCCCTGTGGGATGCAGGCACCGCAGGACTCCTTTTTGGGTGCTAGGTCCTCACCGTGGGAGTAGCAGGGCACAGTCTGAGTGCCGAGTAGCACAGCAGCGAGGTGGCACACCGCGGTGTCCAGGCCCGGCCGGGTCCCTCGCCGGCTCCGGCCTCTCCCCAGTGCCGTCTACACTCTGGAGGCAAACTTTGAGCACTTGCTGCTTTTTGTTCTTTTGATTCGGATCAGGACTTGGGAGCCCCCGTTGACAATGTGGGATTTGCAGACATCCGTTTGGAGTTTTAGGACTTAGTCCTCTGGGCCCATATTTGTGGGGACGGGAGAGTCGATGTTGGGGTATCTGGGTGCTCCACGCATCGTGGGGAGAGGAGGGGCGCCGGCCGGGGTGCCCACTCCCGGAACCCCAGAGGTCACTCACGGCCTTGCCTCTCCCTTTTTGGTAGATGATGGCATCCATCAGTCATCAGCAGTTCCCAGAGCGGCCCGGCGCCAGCGCCCTGGCTCCCAGCGACAGGTAACAGCTCCTCCCCTTATGCCTTACAGCTCCACCCAGCACAACAACAACGATGTTGACGCCAAGGCCCTCACAGGTTTTGACAGCGTGAGCTTTTATACTTTTTTTTCCCCTAAAGATGTATTTATTTATTTGACAGAGTGAGAGAGAGAGAGAGAGAGAGAGAGAGAGAGAGAGGTGGAGAGACACTGAGAGAGAGAGAGAGAGAGAGGTGGAGAGACACTGGTTCAGTTCCTAACAGGCCACAAAGGCCAGGCTGAAGCCAGGAGCCAGGAGCTTCCTCCGGGTCTCCCACATGGGTGCAGGGGCCCAAGCACTCGGGCCATCTTCTACTGCTTTCTCAGGCCACAGCAGAGAGCTGGATCGGAAGTGGAGCAGCCGGGACTCAAACCGGCACCCATAGGGATGCCGGCACTGCAGGCCAGGGAGTTAACCCGCTGCGCCACAGCGCCGGCCCCTGCATTAGGAGTTTTATAGACCTGGGGCAGTGTTGCCCTCTTGGTCCACTTCCTCCACGGGAAAAATAAAAAAGTTGTAGTTTGTGAGAGCGTTGACATAAAGACAAATATAACACAGATTGGACTGTAGTCCTGTTTTCCTTCTAACTTCAGAGAAGTTTGAGCGATGTTAGGAGCCTTTAAAAGTATCAGGAGTTGTAGACACGGCTTCTGCGCTCCTGGCTAAGTCAGGCTAGAACACGGCGAGAAAGAGAACTCCCTGCCCGGCTGGCGTCTGGTGCGGGGCCCTATGCTGCGGCTTGCAAGGCCGGCACCCATATGGGGGCGCTGGCTGCAGTCCCGGCTGCGTCCAATCCAGCTCCCTGCTAACGCCCCTGGGAAGGCAGCGGAAGACGGCCCAGGCGCATGCGCTCCTGCCACTGGTGTGGGAGGCCCTGAAAAAGACCTTCAGGTTGCTGGCGCCGCGGCTCACTAGGCTAATCCTCCACCTTGCGGTGCCGGCACACCTGGTTCTAGTCCCGGTCGGGGCGCTGGATCCTGTCCCAGTTGCCCCTCTTCCAGGCCAGCTCTCTGCTGTGGCCCGGGAGTGCAGTGGAGCATGGCCCAGGTGCTTGGGCCCTGCACCCCATGGGAGACCAGGAGAAGTACCTGGCTCCTGGCTTCAGATCAGCGTGGTGCGCCAGCCGCAACGGCCATTGCGGGGTGAACCAACGGCAAAGGAAGACCTTTCTCTCTGTCTCTCTCACTGTCCACTCTGCCTGTCAAAAAAAAAAAAAATAGATTAAAAAATAAATAAATAAAGGAGGCAGGGATTAGGCCTGGAAGTCCTGCCGCTGGTCGGGTATCAACTGCTTTCCCGGTTCCCTGCAATGTGCCAGCCCCTGTTCTGGGTGCTGGGAAACACAGAGGTGCCCCCCCCAGCCAACAGCCGGGGTTCAGGAATCAGAGACACCTGTGGGCACAGAGCTGGGGCGGGCGGGGGGCCATGCAGAGGGGCCGGGCAGCGCTGTGCAGTGAGGGTCAGTTGGTGGGAGAGAGCTGAGGGGGAGGAGATGAGACCACAGGGGTCAGAGGGGCGGGGCCACGGAGGGCACCTTAAGCCACGCCCTGTTGACGATAGGATGTTACTCAGAGATAAGAAGCGAGGACCTGACCTGGTCAGCTTGGTGTTTCAGTAAGATGGCCCTGACTCTGGAGAGAGGATGGGTGGAGGGCGCGGGGGGCGGGGGGAGCGCAGGGAGCCCCGTGAGGATATCGGGGTGGGGGGGGCAAGATCTGGTGCCTGCGTGGTCAAGAGGTTAAAGGTTAAAGGTGAGCCCAGACGGTGCCCTGGACTCTGTGCTGGGTTTGGGAGTCACACACCAAACTCAATTGCAGACGCCCCAGCCCCGACCAGCTCTTGTCCCCACACAGGAACAAGACGAAAAACCACACCAGCAAACTCCAAGAGCTGGCCCTGCTGCTACCTGTGCCCGTGCAAAATGGCGCGAAGAAGCTGACCAAGGTACGGCGCCTGCAGGAGGCTGGGCCCGGGGCGGCAGCAGCAGGCGGCGACTCTCCCGGGAAGTCCAGACAGACGTCGCATGGCAGCATTGAAAGGGGGGGGCTGCCAGGTCAGGGCCGGCGCTGTACCCTGCAGAGCAGCCGCCTGCAGTGCCAGGGGCCCCGGTTCGAGTCCCGGCTGCTCCACTTCCGATCCTGCTCCCTGCTGGTGTGCCTGGGAAAGCAGCGGAAGACGGCCCAGGTCCTTGGGCCCCTGCACCCACGTGGGAGATCCCAGGGGAGGCTCCTGGCCCAGCCCTGGCTGTCGCAGCCACTGGGGAATGAACCAGAGGCGGGAAGATTTCTCTCTGTCTCTCCCTCTTTGTAGCGCTCCCTTTCAAATAAATATAAATCAGAAAGAGAGGGGGCCTGTTCTGCTCCAAGTGGGAACTCTGGGGGCCGAGGGAAGTAGCATAGGGCGAGGGGGGAGCAGCTGCGGGCTGGAGCCCCGGGACCCCGCAGCGGCAGAGCCCTGGGCAGCCTCCCCAGGCCACGCGGTCTCTGCAAGCCGCAGGCTTCTCAGCTGTGAGGCCACGGTGACGCAGCTGAGCGGCGAGGGGCCCAGGTGAGCGTCGCTGCGCTCTCTCTTACAGTTTTGGGGCCTGTGCGTGTCGTCTCTGTCTCCACCAGGTGGGAACAGATAAGGGGGCCCTGGCGGGAACTTCCTGCTTTTTATATTTAATTCATGTATTTTCAGTTTATTTGAAAGGCAGACAGGGAGCTCCTCACTGGTTCACTCCCCAGGTGCCCGCAACAGCCAGGGCTGGGCGGGGCCGAGTCCAGGAGCCTGGCGTGCCATCGGGGGTCTCCCACGTGGGTGCCAGAGACCTCAGGACGTGAGCCACCACCTGCTCACCAGCAGGAAGCCAGCTCAAAGCAGAGGGACTGGAGCTTGGACCAGGAGCTCCGATTTGTGATGCGAGCGTCCCTTTCAAACAAATAAATGTCTTTTTGAAAAAGCAAAGAAAGGGGCCCCTGTTATGGGTTACGGGTGAAGCCTCCACCCGTAACACCGGCATCCCATAGAGGCGCTGGTTCGAATCCCGGCTGCTCCACTTCCCATCCAGCTCCCTGCTAATGTGCTGGGAAAGCAGCAGGGGATGGCCCAAGTGGTTGGGACCCTGCCAGCCACACGGGAGACCCGGATGAAGCTCCTGGCTTTGGTTTGTCCCAACCCCAGGCCTTTGCGGCCATCGGGGGAGTGAACCAGTAGATGGAAGACCTCTCTCTCTCTCTCTCTCTCTCCTTCTCTCTGTAGCTCTCTGCCTTTCAAATAAATAAAAATAAGGAGGGGCCGGCACCGTGGTGCACTTGGTTAATCCTCCGCCTATGGTGCCGGCATCCCATATGGGCACCGGGTTCTAGTCCCGGTTGCTCCTCTTCCTGTCCAGCTCTCTGCTGTGGCCTGGGAAGGCAGTGGAGGATGGCCCAAGTGCTTGGGCCCTGCACCCGCATGGGAGACCAGGAGAAGCACCTGGCTCCTGGCTTCGGATCGGCGCAGCGCCAGCCGTAGTGGCCATTTGGGGGGTGAACCATTGGATAGAAGACCTTTCTCTCTGTCTCTCTCTCACTGTCTGCAACTCTACCTGTCAAATACATAAATAAAATAAGGAAAGAAGAACGGGGCCAGGAGGCAGGCGAGCCTGGGTCGGGATCCCACCTCTGCCTTCCCGCCTCTGGTTCACTCCCCAGTGGCTGCGACAGCCAGGGCTGGGCCAGGAGCCTCCCCTGGGATCTCCCACGTGGGTGCAGGGGCCCAAGGACCTGGGCCGTCTCCCGCTGCTTTCCCAGGCACACCAGCAGGGAGCGGGATCAGAAGTGGAGCAGCCGGGACTCGAACCGGGGCTCCTGTGGGACACTGGCACTGCAGGCGGCTGCTCTGCAGGGTACAGCGCCCTTAGCTGCAACCCCTGTGTCGCTGGGCCGCAGGGAGGGTTGAACAACTCTGTCACCCGAGGATCTGTCGGAGGTGGGGGGGGGCCTGCAGCCTTCACGTCCCTGGTCCCCCGCAGCCTCACGGGGTCTCGGGGCTCTCGCCCTGGCTCTCGCCCTGAGCCCTGTCTTTCTTTTGGGGACAGAAGGAGATTTTGCATCACGTCCTACAGTACATTCAGCACCTGCACAGAAACATCGAGGCCACCAGGGCCCTGCTGGACGTCCACACCGGCGACGGGGAAGGTGCGCTGGGCGGAGGCGGCTGAGCCCGTGCTGCGGGCGCCTGCCGGGTGCCAAGTGGCTGGGGCCCTCCATGCCTTAAGGAACTCCGGTCTCCTGGGTCGCACAGCCTGGTGGCAGGGACACAGCCAGAGAGACGTGCGAGACGCCGTGGGAACTCAGAGCAGCGGGGCCGTGGCCCCGGGGGCAGACGCAGGAGCAAGGACCCTGCCAGGCAGGGGAGGAGCACCAGCAAGCACGTGCAGGCCCGAGGAGACGCGTGTGGAATGTCTGGGTGTGGCCACAGGGACCTGTGGCATCGCGACGGCGGCGGCTCAGGGCCGCTGGGCCGCGTCCTGACTCAGACGCGTCTCTGTGGCCTGAACTTCTCCGTGTCGGTCCTGTCGTCTGCAAAACGGGATGAATACTCGTGTCCCCTGTGTCTGTCCTGAGGGTTTGAACGAGTTAAGGTGCACAGAGAAGCATAGCACAGTGCCCCAGCCTCCGGTCACCCAGCGCGGGGCTGTGCCAGGGGCTAGCTTGTCACTGGGCAGAGGGCGGGAGGCGGGGCTGCAGAGGTCCGGGGTCCGGGCCGGGGGGCACCGGGACTGCATCCCGAGGGGCTCTGGCTTCCAGCTGGGGCGGAAGGCAGTGTTTGCTGGGATGACGTCTCGGACGTCTAGTGCAGGGAACCGGCGTGACGCGAGGAGCTGGAATCCCGCAGAAGATGGTGGGGCCCACTCTGGCCCTGTGCCCCTGTCCCTGGAGGCTGTGCCACCAAGACACGTCCCATTGCCACCACCCCCGCCCCGCCTGCTGTGCAGGGTCCTCAGCTCCCACATCCTTTAAGCCAGCAGGGGACCAGCCTGTCCCAGGGTTGGGAAGGGGGCGGGGGCCTGACCTGTCCACTTCTCCATCCCACGCAGGGCTGGCTCGGAACCCAGCTCCAGGCCCGGCCCGGAGGAGACACGCCACCCCCTCCAGCTCCCCGTGCTCTCGGAAGCCCTGTGTCTGGGGCGTCTGCCAGAAACCGCAGAAGAAGAAGCCGGCCCGAGCGCCAGGTACCAGCTGTGGGCGCAGGCAGAGCAGGCGGCAGGGGGTCGCCAGGGGGCCGAGCTCCGCCTCCAAGGACGCCTCCACCCCAGGGGGCCGACGCTGCCAGCTGTGCCGGGGCCCAAGTCCCGGCTCCCCAGGGCCCCGGCTCTGAGGCCCAGTCCCAGCACCTGCCCGTCTTGAAGATGACGGAGGAGCCCGGGCAGGCCCCGCCTCCGTGGTCCAGCAGTGGGAGCTGCCCCTGCTGTGGCTCCTTGTCCTGTGCTCCGTCACCGTCCCTGGGGCAGGGTGTCAGGGCACGTGGGGTGGTAGAACGATCCGAGTGTGGGAGGCAGGGCTCCTAGGCCCAGCCCTAGCCTTGCCACTGACTCAATATACACCCCCTCCCCACCATACGCCCCCTCCCCCCATGCGCCCCTTCCGCGTTGTGGGCCCAGGGTCTGTGTCTTTAATGCAGGGGTGGGGGTGCACTTGGTGCAGTGGCCAAGATGCTGCTTGGGACACCCGCATCCCCACTCAGGACCTGGGTTCGAGTCCCAGCTCTGCTCCTGAGTGTGGCTTCCTGCTCACGCGTACCCTGAGGGGCGGCCAGGAATGGCTCCAGGAGTCGGATTCCTGCCTCCCTCCCCGGAGGGAGGCCTGGACTGGGCGCAGGGCTCCTGGCTTCCTTCCGCCTGATCCAGACCCAGCCGGCACAGGCGTTTGGAAGTGAAGCAGCATACAGGAGCTCCCTCTGTCTCTCAAACGAACGTGTTTAAATGATAATAACGGCCGGCACCGCGGCTCACTAGGCTAATCCTCCACCTTGCGGCGCCGGCACACCGGGTTCTAGTCCCGGTCGGGGCGCCGGATTCTGTCCCGGTTGCCCCTCTTCCAGGCCAGCTCTCTGCTGTGGCCCGGGAGTGCAGTGGAGGATGGCCCAAGTGCTTGGGCCCTACACCCCATGGGAGACCAGGAGAAGCACCTGGCTCCTGCCATCGGATCAGCGCGGTGCGCCGGCCGTAGCAGCCATTGGAGGGTGAACCAACGGCAAAGGAAGACCTTTCTCTCTGCTTCTCTCTCTCTCTCACTGTCCACTCTGCCTGTCAAAAAAAAAAAAAAAAAATAACGATAAAACGGGCACGGCCACTCTGATTCTCAGGCCTGGTTGTGCGGGAGGCACCCGTGGGTGTCGACAGCTGCGCCAGTGCCTGCGTCTCAGAGCATGCAGAGGGCACGGCGTCGCTGGCCCAGGGTGGAGCCCAGGCGCCTGTGTTTTTACAAAGCTCACGAGGTGATGCTAACGGGTGGACGGGCTGGGCCTCGTGACCCGTACTGAGGACCTGGGCATTGGAGAGGGGAGTGGCCAGGCCAAGCCACACTCTCAGACCCGCTGTCAGCCACAGCAGAGAGGCCCCAAGCCGCGCCACATTCTGGGGACCGTGAGCGGCCCCCCGGGGCCCTCCGACACCTGTCTGTCTGTCCACAGAGAACCAGACCTCAGGCCGAAAGTCTCGTCGCTGTCTGGCCCTGGACAAGCCCGAGAGGGTGGTGACCCCACCCCCAGAGCAGCAAGGAGGAGCCACCGGGGAGGCCCCCACGCTTCGGAGATGCCCCGAGCCCTGCGGCCTCCCCAAGGCTGCCTCGGCCTCACCTCGAGGCGAGGGAGGAGGACGACGGGCCGCGCCCACGGTGCCGGACGTGCCCCAGGACGTGGCCTGCTGTGGCCTCCCAAGTTGGTTTCTTTCCTCCCCATGACTTTAGTCTCATTTCCACGGTGGCACGGAGCTTCCGACCTCCTTCCCGTCTGTCTGCATTTCAGACTCCGCTGTGGGCGTGAGGGCAGGGCCAGACCAGGGTCACCCTTGGGTGGGGGCGTCAGGTGGCAGAGTGGGGCTCGGGCAGGGCTGCCCCTCCCAGGACGCCCGGTCACGGCTCCCGTTGGAAAAGTGCGGTGACGTAGCCCAAAGAGCTTGCTGGGAGACTAACCGGGGCTCGAGCCTGAGCTTGGAGCGGCCCCGCGGCTGTGGGCCACGTCCTTCCTCTGTGTGGGAGTCCAGCCCCTCCCCCGAGCGCCTCCTCTGTGCCAGGCCCAGTGCCAGGCACTGGAGACACTTCAGCAGCCGAATTCCCAGTCCTGGGCCGGCACCGCGGCGTGGGTTAAGCCTCTGTCTGCAGCACCCGCATCCCATATGGGCACCGGTTCGAGTCCCGGCTGCTCCACTTCCAATCCAGCTCCCTGCTAGTGCGCCTGGGAAAGCAGCAGTGGATGGCCCAAGTGTTTGGGTCCCTGCCCCCACGTGGGAGACGCAGATGGAAGTCCTGGCTTTGGCCTGACCCAGCCCCAGCTGTTGAAATTTGGGGAGTGAACCAGTAGATGGAAGATCTCTCTCTCTCCTTCTCTAACTGTACCTCTGCCTCTCAAATAAGTCTTTAAAAAAAAATAAAACACCCACAGCCTCCCAAGGGAACCAGCCCCCCACCCTCCTGCAGAGGTTTGGGCTGGGACTGGGCAGGGGGAGGGGCCGGCAGCGCGGCACCCTGCGACCCTTGCGGCTGCGAGTCCCGGAGCTGTCGCGAGCCCGCTGTGTGCGCTGTGTCTCCCCACAGCCGGGGATTCTGCGGGCCTTGCCCAGGGCGGCCCCAGCCTGGAGGCCCAGGACATTCTGGAGGGGCTCCATTTTCTCAGCGATGCCCAGCTCTGGCCCAGGTAAGGGAGCCCCGAGGGCACGGAGGGGTGGGGGCAGGGAGGCCCCTGCCCCCCAGCACAGCCTGGCTGCAGCCTCTGGGGGTCTCCCGGCCTCCTGCGCAGCCAGTGGCTTTTCTAACACAGACCCCAGCGGTGCCCCTCGTGGGTGGACGTCCTCCACGCCCCCCAGCTCTCCCGCCTCCCCCACCCCGTGGATGTCACACCCCACAGCGCCCGTGTGCCCCAGACACCGGCCGGCCCTGCCCCCTCCCTGCCCCGCCCTGCTCTGTGGCTCCGACCCCGGCTTCACAGGCGGCCCACGGACCCCCACGGACCCCCACGGGCCCCGCGCTGCCTCTGGGCCCCCGCCTTCCTGCAGGCAGAACCTGGTGCTCTATGATTCCGGCGACGAGGTGGACAAGGCGGCCCTGGACGCTGACCCTTGGCTTCCTGTCTGCACCCCAGAGGGCAGCCCCCAAGGTGACTGTAGCTCCGCCTCCTCCGGGTGGGGGGTAACTGGACAGAGCAGACACTGCCAGCTGTCACGCTGCCCCCCGGTTGCTAGGCAACGCCCTTCCCTGGAGCCTAGGCACTCTGGATCTTTCTTAACACAGAACTGCAGGCAGCCACGGCTGGTCCCACGGCTGGACCTGGCACATGACATCATCATCATCATCATTATTATTATTATTATTATTTTGCCAGCCCTGACAGATACCTGGTAGCATCCCCGCACGGGAAATTCGCAGCCGCCTACCCCTGTGCGTGGCACCACGCCCTCTAGGGCACCCGGGCCGCACCCCTGAGCCCGCTGCTCCCCTTCCAGGGAGCCCGCTGGCCTTGGGGCCCCTGCAGGTGGATCTCTGGAGCGCGCCCGGCCCCCCGGGCGCCTTCCTGGGCCTCAGCCCGTCTCTGCTCAGCTCCCCGGGCGCACTGTTGCCCGAGCAGATCCTGGACGACGGAGCTGAGTTCCTGAGCCAAGGTGAGCTCCGGGGCCGCCTGGGGCTTGGCCCTTGCCGGGCTCAGGCCCGCTGGCTTCCCGGAGGTGGGTCCGCCCGCCAGGCCAGGCCGTGTGGCGGGCAGAGCTGGATCTGGGTATGGGGGGGCCCCAAGGGCACAGCCAGCGAGGGGAGGAGGGGCGACCACGTGGCTGTCCCTCCTCAGCTCTCTTCGAAGATGTGCTGCTGGAGCCCGAGCCTGAGCCCCCGGCCCCCGCGGCTCGGGCACCGCAGGAGGTAGGCAGAGCCCACCGCCCGTCTGCCATGAGGTCTGTCCGTCCCTCCGCATGCACGCTGGCTGCTTGATGCACGCATCCCTCGGTGTGGCCCACGACCCCGCCCCTCCCCCGTCACTGGTGTGGGCATGTAGGATCAGCGTCACAGCTGCCAGGCTCCGTAGAGACCTCCACGCGCTGTTACGGCCGTGCCTCGAGGCAGGGTCTGTGGGCCCCCTTAAGAAGGGGCTCCAGGAATTCCCAGCTGGAACAGAGGCCAAACCTGGGCCTGCCTCCCGCCGGGTCCCTGAGCCAGCCAGGGCTGGGCCAGGCCAGGGCCAGGAGCTTCCTGTGGGTGCAGGGGCCTTTTCCCACCTGTGGCCTTTCCGGCTGCATTAGCAGGGAGCTGGCCGCCCCTCGCAGAGCCCCTGGTAGGCGCCCTGCGGACGCTGTTTTGTGGAGCTCCGTGCACAGAGTGGTTCAGACCTGCCCAAGGGACACAGCCTTAGGCTTCTGCCCGGTGCGCCGTGGGCAGCCCCCGTGACACATTAGCAGGTTAGGCCACGCCGTATCCCGGAGTGGCCACTCCACTTCCGATCCAGCTCCCTGCCAAGGCACCTGGGAAGGCAGCGGAAGACGGCCCACGTCCTCGGGCGCCTGCACCCGCGTGGGAGACCCAGGCAGAGGTGGCTTCTGGCTTAGGCCCGGCCCAGCCCTGGCTGTGGTGGGGGGCATCTGGGGAGTGAACCAGTGGATGCAAGACCTCAAGTACATGAAAGCAAACTCACTTTAAAACTCCAGCCTGAGGGAGCCCCGCTCTGCCCCCACGGCGACAGGGGCTGGGGTGTCCCCGGGGCTGTGGCAAGGAGTGAGTTCGCTCCAGGAGTCAGTGAGCGGGGCGCTGTCTCTCTCCCTCATCCCCGCCCAGGACAAGCCCTGGGGGCCCCCCAAGGAGCCCCCCGGCCCGTGCCAGCCCTCTGTGTCCCTGGAGCACTGCTACCTGTCGCTGAGAGAGGACAGCAAGACGCCCTCCAGCTCCAGCTCCGGCTCTAGCTCCGAGTTCTCCGACACAGACTCCGAGGGCGGCCAGCACGAGGTGAGGGCGCAGCCGGTGCCAGGGCTGGGGGTGTCGGCCGTCCCGGCTCACCGCGGCCCCCTCTCCCCGCGCAGGACGCGGGGGCCAGCGCCGAGGGCTCGCCGTCCTCCAGCGACGAGGACGGAGACCGCACGTGGACGCCGACCCGGCGGCCCTGCAGTGGGCCCGCCGCCCGGAGCAAGGCCAGGAAGGGCCACAGCCCCGCCAGGCCCAAGGAGACCAAGAAAGGCCCCGGGCCGGCCCAGGCAAAGAAGAAGTGCGTGAACGGCTTTATCATGTTCTGCAGGATGAACCGCAAGCAGTACATCCGGTGGGTGGGCCGGGGGCGGGCCTCCCCTGTCTCCGCCCCTGCTGGACCCCCACCGCCACGCTTCTCCCCTCACCCCCGGCTGAACCTGGCCCCCTCGTACGAGCAACCAAGGCCGACTCTGACTTCAGACAAGGGGAGACAGTCACGGGGCTCGCCCGGCGCGGGTGGGCGTGGATAGGGCCTCCCCGTGCCCTCTCGGCTCCCGGGGTCTTCCTGACAGGCTTTGGAGCTGTGCCGGGTGCTGTTGGGGGGCTTCGGGCTCCGTCGGCCACCCCGGCTCCCCTGGCTGTGGCCTCCAGCGGCTATGGTCGACCAGGTGCCCGAAGCCACAGCGGGAGGGGGGACAGCTCTCCTGACCCTGCCCTCCGCCTGTGCCAGAGCCTGCCCTGGGACCGCGTCCACAGCCGCCACCAAGGAGCTGGCCCAGCTGTGGCGGGAGATGACCCTGCAGGAGCGGAGGCCGTACTGGTGAGCAGCCCCTGCCCGCCAGGCCTGGGTGGGGGCAGAGGAGACCCCGGGGAGGTGAGTGAGGACCCCGCGCCCCACCCATGTCCCGCAGCACCAAGGCGCGCCGGTTCAGCCGCCAGCACAACCGCATCGTGAAACGGGCCAGCTCCAGCAGCGAGGACGAGGACTGGGAGACCCCCAAGCCCTTCTACCAGCTGCTGGCTGAGAAGGCCCGGGCCGCCCGAGCCCTGGCCCCGGCGCCCCACTGCGGGTGACCCTGACCCCTGCCCCTTGCCTTTGCCCTCCACCCTGTGCCTCACCCGAGGGGCCTGGGAGACCCCGATGAAATGCAGGGAGTGACATTCATGGGCTCTGCCTCCCCCCACCCCAGGATCAAATGGTTACAGCCCCCCCCACCCAGGGTTTATTCTCACCTGATCCCACCCCACCCCCACTCTATTTATAGACTATTTATTTATTGTTTCCAACAAAATAAACAAGTGCAGCCCTTGTCACCAGCAAGGGCGGGCAGGGCAGGCTGTCCCGTGTGTCCCGCGCCCTGGGCTGGGGCCGGGGCTGGGGCCAACCTCCCAGCAAGCCCCGGGCCCTCGCCCCCACCCCACACACGGGGCCGTCAGGGCTTCCCTCTGGGCCACACCCGGCGGCTTCTGCTGTTAACTTTATTTTAACTGAAAGGCAAGCATAACACGTCCTAGAAAAATAAAAGATTTAGGATACGATACAAACTAGACGGGGGCCAGGGCTGCCCCGGGCCAGGGCCAGGACGAGGGGATCTTTGGTCTGGGGCTGCAGGTGATGGAGAGGGCCCTGGAGGGCGCCCCCTCCCCCTGCAGGAAGGGCCGGGTCTGTCCGTCTCGGGGCCTGGGGTTCCAGGCGCTCGGAGGGCGCTGGGTGTCAGGGGAGCTACTGATAGTGTTGGGGGCAGGGGAGGCTGGCGGGCTCGGAAGTCCAGCGCGCAGCTAGTACCAGGTGCAGGGGTGGCACCCCGAGGGGGACCCTAAGAGCCCCCGCCGTGTGGGGCAGAGCAGGGGGCAGGTCCCCAGGCACCTCCGGGGCTGGCGGAGGTCAGCTGGGCTGGGGGCGGCAGCTGTGTTCCTGAGGCCCTGCGCCCGGGGCACTGGTCAGGAGCAGCCAGGGCCCGTGTGGGTCACAGTTCCAAGGGCTCCTCCACGGGCACCGACTGCAGCTGGGTCAGGACCTTGGCCTCGGCCTCCAGTCCCTCGTCCACCTCGCTCCCCGCCGGGGCCCCCAGGAGCAGGCCGTCGGGGTCGGGGTCCGGCAGTCGCAGCACGGTCTGGGGGGCCTGCGTCCCCAGCCCCTTCTCCGCATCCAGTAGCCCCTCGGCGCCGGTGCTCAGTTCCAGTCCCGTGGGCCAGATGGGCACGGCTGCGGGCGACAGCAGCAGCCCCTCGGGCGGGGGCGCTGGGAAGCTGGGCGCCAGGCTGGCGGAGTCCGGGGCGAAGGGCGGGGCGGCAGGGGCGGGGGGCGGCGGCTGGGCCGGGAGGGCGCCCAGGGCGTGGGTCTCCGGGAGGGCGCCGTCGGGCACGGGGACGGCGGCCTCGGGCTTCACGGGCAGGGCCAGGCCCGGGGCGGGCGGCAGCACCTGGGAGACCAGCATGCTGGTGGGGAAGGTGGCCGTGAGGATGATCTTGCCCTGCTGCACGGCCACGCCCGTCACGATGGGGCTGCCGGACACCGGGTTGGCCAGGAGGAAGTTTCCTGTGGGGAGAGGGCGGACGTAGGTGACTGAGGTGCTGGCGTGGAGAACGCAGGCGGGGCGGGAGGCGTGCCGAGGGCAGGTGCACCCCCAGAAGCCGCTGACGGCACCCCCGCTTCCCCCAGCTCCCACCGGGGCCCCCAGGGAGGTGGTGTGTGGGCGGGTACCTGGAGCAGAGGCCGAAGGCAGCTGCAGAGCCGTGACGCCCACCCCCGAGTTGAGCAGGTGCACGCTGCCAGGGCCCGCTGCGGCAGCCACCTTCACGGGGCTGCCTGGCCCGGCGGCCAGCAGCTGCAGGGGCCCCACGGCCTGGGGCAGGGTCACCACCTGGGAGCTGGGCACCACTTGGGGCAGGTTCAGAAGCGGGGAGGTCGGGTACCCCGGGGGCGGGGACAGCGGCACCACCTGCGGGGCGGCCACAGCGGGCACTGGCCCCGGGGGCAGGGGGAAAGCGGCCGCAGCCGGGGGTCCCGGCACCACTTGGGGCAGGGGCCCCGCGATGTCCTCTCCCGCTGGCCCTGAGGCAGCCGCTTGGGCCCCCTTGGTCTCTGAGGCCTCGGGCTGAGCCTCCTCCAGCCGGACCTCCCCGGTCTGCGGGTCCAGGATCAGAGCCGTCTTGGCCTCGCCGGCCCCCTGGGGGCTGGGCTGCGGTGGCGGCGGTGGAGGAGGAGGAGGGGCCGCGGCGGCGCTGCCCCCCGTGAGCAGCAGGGGGCCCAGGCTGGAGGCCTCGCCCAGGGCCAGGCTGTTGATGATGACGGGGCTGCCATTCAGCAGCACGGCCGGGGAGCTGCCGGCGGCCAGAAGGCTCCCGTTCACCAGGATGGAGGAGGCGGTGGGGCACGGGGCGGGAGGGGCGGCCCCGGCCAGGAAGATGGAGCCCTGGGCGGGGGCCTCCGCGGGTGCAGAAGCCACGCCCCTCTCCAGGTCCTCGGGACTCCGGCTGGACTCATCCTCAGTAGTGGGGTTCCCGTCGGATTCGCTGGCGGGAGAGAGGGTGGTCATTGGGGTCTGCATTTCCCCCGCCCCCCCGCCGGTGGAAGCTTGGGCTGGCCCTGCCTCCCCGGCCACTCAGGGGGGACAGGAGGCCGCCCCGGGGTGCCGCCCAGCCCCGCACGGACCCCACCGCACAAAGCCAGAGTTGTGTTGAAAGGCGGAGACCCCGGGTGTCCTCGGGAGGCGGAAAGCGGGCGGGTGGCCTGGGAGAGAGGAGGCCACGCCAGCCCAGCTCCCGGGCCCTCCCCCGGGCGTCAGAGCCGGGAGCGAGAGGCCGGCCGCCCGGGGTGGGAGGGGAAGGGCTTGGGTTACAGGGAAACCGGAGCCGGGTTAGGTTCACGTTTCACAACAAAAGCAGGCGACGGACCACGCTGTTTGGGCCCCGGGGCGGAGGCGGGTAACGGTCAGAGGGGACCCCCGCGGGGCGTGGGGGGCAGCCCCCCCGACGGCTCCCCGTCTCCGACGGCCTCCACCAGCGTAGTCCGGAACGCGGAGGGGGGCTGTGGACGCAGCCTCGCAGGCAGCGGTGCCCGGGAGAGCGCCCAGGGCGCGCGGCGGCCCTAGGCACGGCCCGCGGACGGACGCCCAGGGGAGAGCAGGAGTCCGGGGTTCGGCGCGCCGACTCCCGACGCGGACACGGGAGTCCTCGCGGAAAGAAAGGCCTGCGCCGCCCGGGCCCCTCACCTCTTGCAGGGCGCGCCGCCGCCGCCCCCAGTCCGGTCGCGCTGCCGCCGGTTCTTGAACCAGTTGCTGACCTGCGTGAGCGAGAGGCCGGTGAGCGTGGCCAGGCGGCGCTTCTCGTCCGGCGTGGGGTAGCGGTTGCCGCGGTAGCAGGCCTTGAGCGCGGCCCGGGAGCGCTCCTTGAAGCAGTACACGGTCTCCTCGCCGTCCCAGATGGTCTTGGGCAGCGGGAACTTCTTGCGCAGCCGGTACTTGTCCACTGCGCCCAGCGCGCGGCCGCGGGCCCGCTCGGCCTCGTGGTAGCGCGCGCGCAGGTAGAGGTCCTGCAGGAAGGCGTGGTGGACGGCGGGGAAGGGGCGGCTCTCGAGCAGCCGGTAGAGCTCGGCGTACTCGCCCCGCTGGAAGGCCACCAGGGCCCGCGCGCGCAGCACCGGGTCGCTGCCACGTAGGCGCTCGGCCGGGGGCAGCGCGCCCAGGAAGCGGCTCAAGCGGCCGGCGTGGCCCGCCTGGAGCAGCGCCTCGCACACGCACGCCACCTGCTCGGGCGAGAAGCGGAGGCCCGCGGGCGGCTCGGCGGCGGCCTCGGGGGGCGACCCGAGGACGCCCGGGGATCCCGGGCCCTCCGCTCCCGCCGCCGCGTCGCCCGCCCCGGCCCCGGCCCCGGCCGCCGCCGCCGCCTCACCCTCGGCCGCCTGCAAAGTCTGCAGGAGCTGGCGCGCCTCCTCCTCCTCCTCTCCTGCGGCCGCCGCCGCCGCCGCCTCCCCCCCGGCCGCCGGCCCCGCGCTCGGCTCCGCGGGCAAGGTAGCCATGTTTTGCAACTTTGGGAAGTTCCTCCCTCCTCCTCCTCCTCCTCCCTTGGGCTTCCCCCGGCCCCCTCCCCCGCCTGTCCCCCGTCTCCAGCGCCCCGCGCGCTCCCCGAGCTCCCCGCGCCGAGGGCCTCGCGCCCCTCACCCCCGCCCGGAACGCCGGGCCCCGCCGTGCGTTCGGGCCCCGTCCCTGAGTCTGTGTGCCCGGCCCCCTCGTCTGTCCGTGTTTCTCCCTTTGTTTTCCCTCCGCCTCTGCCGCGCGTTCTGCCTCCCCCCGCGTGTGCCTCGGGCTCGGGGCCTCAGCTCCCCATCGGGGCACCGGGGAAGGTAACGGGCCGGCCGGGAGCGCCAAGGGCGCGAAGCCGCCTCCGCCCCGAGGCTGGGCCTCTGCACGCCTCCGTCTCCGGGGTCCTCTGCAGCCCCCCCACTCTCCATCGCCGCCTGCGCTCCGCCCCTCGGAATTCCCGGCTCCGCAGGGGGCGGGCCTGGCCGGGAGGAGGGGCGGGGGGACCGGGCCACAAAGTTTGCGGCAACTTTCCCCGGCCTGTTCCCGGAGCGGATGCGCGTGGCTGCGCAGGCGCAGCGGCGGGGGAATGGCCGCGCTCGGCCGCCCAGCGTGGCCGCAGCTGGCCGGGGCGGGGCCTCGGGCCGGCCCGCCCCCCTGGCCGCCCTCCCGCCCCGGCCGCGCACAGAGCCTACGCCGCAGAGTCCCGGGCTCGGGCCGAGTAGAGGGCTTTTTATTGGCGAGGGGCTGGGGGTGGGGTCCCAGGTGTGGACAAACAATAAATACCAGGAATGTCGGGGGTCTCAGTGCATCCAAACGTGGACTGGAGTGCCGGGGTCCTGGGGCCCGTCAGCGGTCGGGAGGGCAAAGTTAATAAATATCCACACCGCCGAGGCGGGCGGAGCCGGCGTGGCTCCGAGAGCAGCGCACGTGCAAAGGGCGCAGGAGCCCCGCGGGAGCGGGCGGAGGTCGCCACGGGAACGGCACGCCCCCCGGAGGGCAGGGTCTCGTGCTCGGGACGGGTGGGGGTGCGCAGAAGGGAGCCCCGGGCGGCCGCGCCTCGGCCTGCTGCCCTCTCGGGACCGCGGGGCGCAGCCCGGGGTGAACGAGGGGTCCGCATCCCCCGGCAGCGGCACTCTCCCCCGAACCCCCGGAGCCCCGCACGCCGGCCGCGGACCTGCTCCTCCCTCCCCGGCCGCCAGGGGGCGGGCCCGGATCACAGGACCGGAGCTGGGGCCCCGAGCGCCCTCGGAGAGTCGGGAGCGGCTTCTGGGCCGCGCCAGGTCACCCAACCCTCCGACGGGGCCCGAGGGGCGCACAGTCCGGAGTTTAGGGTTCGGGGGACGAAGAGGGCTCCTGGGCGGCGCCAGGCCGCGGGGTGATGGCGGGCGCGGGCCACCAACCCAGCGCAGCCCAGGGCGGGGGCATGAGCCAGAGCAGCGGCGAACAGGAGCAGGGAACGCGCCTCCGATAGGCCAGGCCTAGGGACCTGCGGGCGAGAGGGCGGGGTCAGCTCTGAGACCCAGCCTCTGACTGGCTCGAGACTAGCCCCGCCCCGCCCCCAACTGCGAGCCAGCCTGGAACGCCGTCCGAAGTCGTCATTGGCTGCTCCCTAGCGGCCTGTGCTGATTGGCTGCCCGAGCTTCCTCCCCCCGCGGTCGGCCGAGCCGGGCAGAGGCGCAGCCAAGCGGTGCTGGCACAGGGTGGGCGGAGCAAGGCGTGGGCCCGCGGCGGCGGGCGTGGGCAGCCGGACGTACCCTGGCAGGGAGCAGCAGGTGGCGGCGGTGCATGGGGCTTGGCCCCACCAGCGGGCACTGGCCCAGAGACACGGCCGGGGGGCCATCTAGCTGGAGAAAGAAGGGACAGGTGACCCGATCGGAGCCCAGCCCAGCGAGAGGCAGCCAGGGGGTCGAGGGGGGTCTCGGAGGCCATGTAGTGGAGGGGCCGTTGCGGGGCGGGGCGGCTGCCCTCCGGAGCCCCAGAGAGGTAGGGTGAGCCCTAAATCTGGACGGGGAGACGGGGCGGGGTTCCGGAGAGGGGCCAGCAGCCCGAGGCAGGGAAAGAAAGGTGTCTTACATGGGAAGGTGCGTCCGAGGCCCGGGGGCTGGGGACCCCCGTGACAGCTGGAAGGAGAAGAGAGAGGCGGATGGCGTGGAGGGTGGCGGAGGGCGGTGGCGCGGCGTGCCCCAGCCCGGCCCCCCGCCGCCGCCTCGGGCACCCGGGGAAGGCGCGGCCGAGGGACTCGCCTGCAGCTCCAGTGGCCTGCAGCAGCCGCAGCCGCTCCTGCAGCTGCCGGACGTGCGCCTCCAGGTCCCGGTTCCGGGCCTCGGCCTCGCGGAGCTGGCTGTGGGCAGACACAGCGCTGAGCGCCCCGGCGGCGGGCAAGGGGGGCTGCCCAAGCTGCGCCCGCCGCCCGCCTGCCCACGCCCCCGACCTGGCGAAGGCCTGGTTGGCCGTGCGGATGGCCTCCAGCTCGCGGCTCAGGCTCTGCCGCGTGAGCACCTCCTCCTCCAGGGCCTCCTGGATCTCCCCGAGCGTCACCTCGGCCTCGGCCTCCGCCGCGGGGTGGGCCGCCGGCACCGCCGCTTCAGCCTGCACGTGGGGACCGGGCGGAGGGCTGTCTGCTGCCCCGGGGACCAGCACTCCCTGGCCACGCTGGCTCCTGTTCGTCCCCGGGGACCAGCCTCCTCTTCCATCAACTCACCCTTTCCTCCGGGAGGGGCAGCGGGGGCTCCAGGCTGGGCACGCACGTGTGTGGCTCAGGCAGCCGTTCGGCCTCCAGTTCCATGGGGGTGGGGCCTGGGACCTCACTGTCCCTGGGAGAGGGACAGCGAGAAGGGACAGGGACAGAGCCAGTCACACCCTGGGGTGCTGGTCGGAGGGGTCCCCAGCCCTTGGCCTGGGGCAGGCGGCCGGAGGAGGGCCCTCCTGAGAGAGGATGCCTGGCAGCCCCTGCTCTGGCTGGAAAGGCCCCGCCCCTCAGAGGGCACCCCCCCACCCAGGGACCCCCCTTTCCCGACAGGTGGCACCTGCAGACTCCTCTCCTCAGGGACTCAGGTCATGGAGGGAGACCCTGCCCCACCCTGGTCACCTCCAACAGTGCGGTCTTGAACCTGGGCCTGGGGTTCCCCAGACTATGTAGGAATTGGCCGCCCCCCGGGGAAACAGCCAGAAAAGCATCCTCCCCCCACCCAGCCCCTCCGGGGTCTCAAGGCCACGCACAGGACCCACTGTGGCCCTTGTCCTGGCCCACGGGCGGCCCTCCGGGCACTGGCACGGTGAGGAGGGGCGGCCGGGCGTCTTCACAGCTGGACGCTGGACAGGACGCTCACGAGCCAGCTCCCTCTGCTCACCCACGGTCCCTCACTCACTTGCCATACGCAGGGCGCTACTGGGACTAAAGACTTCGCGAGTGGGTGAGTGACCAGGGAGTCTGTGTTCTCTTGAAATTGGTTGTGAGAAACAAAACCAAAGACACCGAAGGCTGCCAGTCCTGGCGGCTCCAGGGGCCGGGGCGCCTCTGCGGCCCCACTGCGTCGGAATGGTTTTTAATGGGTCAGGAATCCCCTCAGAGACGCAGAGGGAGAGGGCGGTCTCTGTCTGCTGGTTCACTCCCCCGATGCCCGGAACAGCTGGGTCTGGCCAGGCCGAAGCCAGGAGCTGCACGCTCCGCCTGGGTCCCCGCCGTGGGCGGCAGGAACCCAGCCCCTTCAGTCACTGCCGCCTGCCGGGGTGCGGGTCAGCAGGGAGCCGGGAGTCCTCATCCCACCCAGCAGCGCCTACCTGAGCGCCAGGCAGGAGTAGGAGTAGCCCACGAAGGGCAGGTGGGCGCCCAGCGGCACGCCTTCCCGCATGTCCGACAGCGTCTCCTGCGAGAGAGAGCGTGTGTGTCACCAGCCCTGCCAGGCCCCACCCCCGCCCATGGTGCCCCTCCGGCCCTCGCCCCCGACGGTGCTCTCCAGGGCCCCCAGCTGACTGATCAGGGCTCTGCAGAGCTGCCCTGGCCAAGCACTCCAGGCCAACGGTCAACAGTTGACAGAAATGACCCAGGGAGGGGCCGGCGCCGTGGCACAGTGGGTCAAGCTGCCATCTACAACATCAGCATCCCATAGGGGCGCCAGTTTGAGTCCCGGCTGCTCCACTTCCGATCCAGCTCCCTGCTATGGCCTGGGAAGGCAGAAGGGGGCGGCATCACACGGATGGAGCTCCTCCCCCTGGCTCCTGGCTCTGGGCAGTGCCAGCCCCAGCCATTGCAGCCGCCTGGGGAGTGGACCAGCAGGTGGACGGTCTCTTTTTCTCTGCCTCTGTCTCTCTGTGTAACTCTGCCTTTCAAATAGCCCCCTGCTCCAGGAAGCCTTCCAGAACCTTCCAGACTAGATTCTGAGCCCAGCCCCTTGTACTGCCCCATCTCACCCCTGAAGGAGCGGGGGCCTCACTGTCTGGGGGGGGCAATCTGTGTCCCTCCTGGATCGTACGTCTAGGCCACCACCAGGTCCCCGGCACTGCGTGGGCACAGAGCAGGCCCCTAGAAGGCAGGGAGGCGGAGCCGGCGCGGTACCTACCCCGCCCCCGCTCACCATGGCAGTGAGCCCATCCTCCACCACATCGAAGTTGCATGTGTCAGTGGCACCCTCAAAATCCGGGGTAAATGGGGGCACGCTGTCCCGGAGACCGTCCCAGTCCAGGCCAAAGAAGAAAGGGTGCCTCTGGAAATCAGCTGCCCCGCCCCGGCCCAGGCGGGCCTCCGGGGGGCACAGCAGCCGCTGGATGAGGTCCCGAGCCTCCTCAGGGACTCCCGCGTCCGCCAAGGGCAGAGACAGGTGCTCCTGGCCAGGGAGGAGAGGGCCGTCAGCCTGGAGCGGGCGCCCGGAGCGCCCGGGTTCCCGGGGCCGCGCCCACCTTGTAGTGCACGATCTTGCCGTAGGTCTCCGCTGTGGAGTCGGCGTAGAAGGGCGTCTGCCCGTAGAACATCTCGTAGGCGAACACGCCCAGCGCCCACCAGTCACACTCGGGGCCGTAGCTGCCCGCTCCGGGCCCACCGCCCACGGCCTGCAGGATCTCGGGGGACAGGTAGTCTGGAGTGCCCACAGCCACCAGCGACCGCACCTGAGCCGAGGAGACCCGCGCTCTGGCTCCCGCAGGGCTCCGGCCCTGCCCCGCCCACCCCTTCCACCCCTCCTAACCAGGCCCGGGCTGGGCTGCTCAGCCCCTCCCCTCCCCCGGGGTGTCTCTCTTTCACACCTGCAGGCCCGGTCTCTATCTGGCCCCGCCCCGCCCGCAGCTCCACCCGCTCCTCCCGAAGGCGCCCGCTCACCGTTCCATCCGCCCGCAGTTTGAGGCAGGAACCGAAGTCGGCCAGGCGGATGTGGCCGCAGCGGTCCAGCAGGATGTTGTCCGGTTTGATGTCCCTGCGCCAAGAGGACAGGGGAGGCAGAGGTGAGCCGCCGGCCGGCTGTCCCGCCAGCTCCGCTCCTGTGGGCACGGCCGCTAGGGCCTCACCCCCTCGGGTTACGCTAGGGGCGTCTGCAAGCTTCTGGCTGTCCATCTCCGGGCCCCGCCCTCCGCCGGGCCCCGCCCCACCCCGCCACGCCCACCTGTGCACGTAGCCCAGCCGGTGCACGGAGTCTATGGCCATGACAATCTCGGCTAGGTAGAAGCGCGCCATCTCAGCCGGGATCCGCTCCCCGAACTTGCTCAGCAGCGTCAGCAGGTCCCCGCCCACGTAGTACTCCATGACCAGGTACTGGGAGGGGGCGTGTCACGGGGTCGGTAGCCCCCCCAGGCATCCACGGCTGCTTGCCCAGGTGCCCATCCTGGGGCAAAGACCCCGCAGCCCGCAGCCCGCAGCCGCAGCCATCTTGCAGGCCAGATCAGAGACCCTGCCCCAGAACTACCTCTCCCAGGATGCCCCTGGGGCTCAGGGGACAGAACCCAGAGACCTCCCATCACCCAGAGCACAGCTCTCGGGCACTCCCCGCCCAGCCGGGGGCGCCACATCCTGGGGGGCGATCTCCTTCCAGCGCAGAGCCTCCCCTCTCCAGAAAGAGACCCTCAGAATCAGCGCAGGCGAGCGGGGGCGGGGGACCAGCTCCCGCCTCGGGTGCGGACGGATGGCCCCTCACCTGCCGCACCCAGCCTCCCCGGCCAGCACTGTCAGTGGGGACGGCGCGGGGGTGGGGGCCGCCCCTCCCTGGGCCCCGACCGGGCGCTCACCAGGTAGTTCTCGTCTTGGAAGGCGAAGTGCAGCTGAGTGATCCAGCGCCGGTCCCCGTTCACCAACACATCCCTCTCCTCCCGGAAACACGACACCTGCGGGCACCACGAGCTGCAGCGAGGGCGTGGGGGGCACCGCGCGTCCCGCGCCCAGCCCCGGCTCTCACCTCGCCCCTCTTCAGCATGTCCCACTTGTTCATGATCTTCATGGCGTACACCTGGCCCGTCTGCTTCATCTTCACCACGGCGACCTGAAGGCCCCAAGTGACTGGGGCGGGGGAGGAGGAGCCAGGCGCGGCCCTGCCCCCGACTCCACCCGGCGCGGCCCCGCCCCCGACTCCACCCGGCGCGGCCCCGCCCCCAACCCGGCCCGCCTCATGGTCTAGCACTCAGTCATTCATCAATTTCTACAGCCCCGCCCCAAACGGCAAGGCCCCGCCCACACGCGGCTCCCAGGGGCGGAGCCGCAGCCGGGCCCGGGGCTCACCTCGCTGAACGCCCCGCGCCCGATCACCTTCAGAATCTCGAAGTCGTCCCTCTGCAGCCGGACTTCCTTAAGCCTGGCCGCAATGGGCTCCGCTGCGGAGGGGGAGAACGGGGGTCACGAGAGAGGAGCGGAGGTCCCGCCCTGTCCCTCTCAGCTGCAGCTTAGGGTTTCCGTCCCCACAGGCCTCCCCACGGCAGCCGTGGCCAAAACTGCTCCAGAGGAGCCAGGGAAGCCAGTCTGAGACCGGGGCCGGGACGCGGGAGGGGCGAGGGCTACCAACCCCACCCACCCCCGCCGGTGGCAGAAGACCGGAGACCTCACTCCCTACGAGTCGGGTTACGACCCACAGCTGCAGCTGCACCCAGGACCCAGACTCAGATGCAGGGGCCTTGGACCACACACACCTTGGGAACTGGATTAGGGGCTGGGGGGAGGGGGAGTCACTGCCGGCGGGACACCCGGCTGGGCTCCAGCGCGCAGCTGCCGAGGCCCAGGGAAGCCTGGCCTCCCACAGGGTGTCCAACAGGACTTCAGAGGCGGGATGGAGAGCGATGGGCAGGGACAGGAGAGGGGGACACACAGTGGGGTATGGAGGGCAGAGCGGCCCCCGGGGCTCCTGGGGGGCTCAGGGAGAGTGGGGCCATGAGGAAAGGGCCGGCCAGGGCCAGCCGCGGGGGAGGGAGAGCGCGCCAAGGCGTTGAGCCCTTAAAAGGCAGCGGGAACCGGGCCCCCTCCCCCGCCCGGGAGGCCTGGCAGGGGAGGGGCCGCAGGAGGCAGCGCAGGCCACAAAAGGAGTGCTGCTTCCAGGAGAGCGGCCCCTCCCCCACCCAGGTCTCAGTTTACCCTGCCCACCCAGCTCCAGAGGCCAGAGGCAGATGGGGGGGTGGGGGGTGGGAGGCAGGGAGAAGGAGGCTGAAGGGCCTGCCCCCCCCCCCTTCCCACCTGTGAGACAGGAGGGAGAGGACGGGCTGTTGTCAAAGAGGAGACTGGCCAGGGGCACAGACAGCACACAGCAACTGAGACACTGACACAGGGGCCCAGCCCAGAGGAAGCCCTGGGGGGAGGCCGGCAGAAGCCAGCGTGGGCCAGGTGTGGGTCAGGAGTGCGGCGGCGGCGGCAGACAAGCCAAGGGCTGCACCGGGAGCACCCTAACCTCAGACCTGCGCCCAGGGCCTGGGGAGGCCCTGACCCACAGCAGGCTGGTAGGGGCAGGGCACGCGGAAGCCAAGAGAAAGCAGGCACATCCCCCAGACCCCCAGGCTGTTCAACTGCGGGGGGGGGGGGGGAGATGCTGGGTGGCGCCTGCCTGCAGAGCTGGTTCTCCCCCAGGGCTGGGTGAGTCACTGCGCCCTCCCAGGGCTGGGCACCTGTCAGGGCGGCTGGAGAGCCTGGCGCCGGACACCTGCCCGCCAGCCGCACCCCTGGCAGCTGGCCCGTGTGGCCCTCCCAGCCTGCCCCTGTGTGCTGGGGAGAGGGCCACAGGGTCCACTTTTGGGGAAGGGTCCTAGGAGACGGGGCTCCCGCCACGTGTCCAGGCCCAGACTTGGGGACGCGGTGCAGTAAGACAACAGGAAGCTGTGCCCAGCCCGCCGTCATGGCTCCCCAGCCGTGACCATTAGTCACAGCGGCGCCCGCCTCACTGACCTTACTCTGCCCGCCAGGGTGGCGCGTGGATAGGGGTCCCAGGGCCCAGGGCCCAGCTCTGGGCCCCGGTACAGGAGCACCTGCCCACATCCATCCTGCCCCCCGGAAGCTAAGTCCCTGCCTCTGTCCGGCGCCCCCACTCCACAGCCTCGGGGAGCCCAGGCAGGCAGCACTCACCCCACTGCAAGAAGTCGGCCACGTACTTGTCCTGGGCCAGGTCGGAGGCGCCCAGCTCCTGGTGGACGCCCAGGAGAAGGTCGAGCAAGGGCTCCAGCCCCAGGAAGCCAGGGTCCAGCACGAGCTGCTGGAGCCGCCTCAGCCGCACCTCGGCCGACATGGCGGGCAGGCAGCACCATGGCCCCTCCCCGGGCCGGGGCGCGGGTCCTCCTGTCACAGGGCCTGGCACCCCCTGTGCAGGCCCCGCAGCCCTGGCCGCATGTCTGCCTGTCCCCAGCTGTCCCCTGGGCCTCTCTGGCCACTTCTCTCTCTTGCTGAGGCCTCCTCCTCTTCTCCCCACCCCCTGAGCCAGCCCCCCTCCCGCCTCCCAGCCTTAACCCCTCACAAGCCAGCCCCCCTCCGGCCAGGGCCTCTCAGAACCCTTCAGAACTGGACTGGAGAGATGGACGGAGATTCAGCTCTCACAGTCACCACCCCCATAAAAAGGTGTGCCCTGGATGAAAGCTACAGGTGCCAGATGCCAAGAAGAGCCCGCCCCCCGCCTGGAGAGGGCCAATCATGGCCCAGTGACCCACAACTACCCCGCCTTGCTCCTCACAAGCCCCAGAGCGGAGGCTGGGGCAGGGGCAGCTCCTCTGTGACTCAGCCATGGATTCCGACGCTGGGACAGTTAAATTTAGCCTACAGGCCCCCTGTTTTACACGGGCTTTTTTGGCAGGTGGGGAAGGGGTGGTAGGGAGAGGACCGGGAAGGGACGCCCTCTGGAGCCAGGGCCAGGGGTGATCTGCTGGCCAAGGCCGGGGGGAGGCGGGCGGGGAGCCAAGCCCTCCCCAGGCAAATGAGCCCCCAAAATAGCTCCCTGGCGGCAGGCCGGGCAGCCACATTCCTGCCCCGGCTGGGATTAGAAACAGAAACATTCGGGGATGGAGGGTGGAGCAGGGAGCACCGCTCCCAAGCGCCAGAGCGCAGCCCGGGGACGGCCTTCCGGGGTCAGGGGCAGGGGGAGGCCGTTCCGCAGAAACCCTGGTCTCCCGGGCACTGGCTGCGACGCTCTGCTGCCCCCAGGCCCTGCTCACTGATGACCCATGGAGGCTGCCCATCCTGCCCGGGCCTTCTGCTATCAAGAGGGGGCAAGGGACACCCACACAGAGCCCTGTGGCTACCGGCTTTGGCCTGACCCTTGTGGCATCCGGGCAGTCAGCACGTGGACAATTTCTCTCTTTAACTCTTCCAATAAATCTTTAAGGGGGGGGGGGCAGCAGGAGGCAGGTGCGCGTATACACACACACACACACACACACACACACACACTCTGCACCTACACATCCGCAGAAGGGCCCGAGCCGCTGTGAAACAGGGAACTTTAGTATAAATAAAAGGGCCTGGGGAACAGGGAGGGCCCTGAGGGGCTCCCATAACTTAACACTCTCCAAAAGCAGACAGAAGCAGGGGGCGTGGCTTCCTCCCCAGGAGTGACCAGTCACATGCTGGGGACAGGGACGCAGGTTAACACTGATGTTCGAAGGGTCATTGTACTTGGCAGTGGTGGGGACAAGGCAGAGGCCACAGGGACTGCGCCATCCCCCCAGTGTCTGGGCCAGCAGGGGGCCTGCAGCAGTCCTGGGTCCCAGGTTAGTCTTGTTAATGCGGCCATCCGTGGGGTCAGCGGGAAGGACTGTGGCCAGGAGGCTGGGGCACAGCGCGGGGACCCCAGCCTCCACAGCTTCACACCACTGTGCCACTTGGGGAGTTGCCTGGTTGGGAGGAGACGCCCTGGGGAACAGGAGAGGGAGAGACGGGGAGGGGATTAGAGTGTGCCAGTGCCCAGAGGGAGCCAGTGTCCCCCAGGCTGCCGCCCACCTGGGCCTTGTCCAAGCCACCCCCACGCCAGACAGAGGCCAGAGCTCTAGGCTCGGGGACCTACATCTCAGCCAGCTCCCGGCCCGGCGGCTGGCACTTCTGTGAGCTCCGACACAGACGGTGGGGGAGCGGCAGGCGCAGAGGAGAGGGGGACACTGGGGTCCCCTCCCGACAGGGGGCGGGGAGAAGAACCTGGGACAGTCCTACCTCTACCACTGACTTGCTGGGTGACCTGGGCCAACTTCCTTCCCCTGCCTGGGCCTCGGCCTCCTCGTCTGTGAACTAGGGAGATAGAGGGGTCTATCAGAACCCAACAGGCACCCCAAAGCCCCACACCCTTGCCTCTGAGACTGCGCTCCCCACCCTAGGGAGCCAGGATCCCAAGGAGCCAGGCCTCAGCCCCTGACCCAGGGTCCTGGGCACCCGAGCCCCAGCGCCCAGCAGCGGGACAGCTGGGACTGCTCTGAACCGACAGAGGTGCCAGGCCTGGGCTTCCGCTGGCGTGACACTGGGTGCCCCGCCCCCCACAGCCACCCAGGAAGTGGGTGTATCCACCCCACCGCCCACTCAAAGGCTGAGTCTGGGGTCACACAGGCACAAACATGCAGCACTGGCACCCCGGCCTCTACTGCCAGCCTGGGCCTCCCGTCGGCAGGCTAAGACCCAGACAGTGCCAGGCCTCAGGACCAATCCCGCCCTGGTGTCCTGGCCCGAAGACCCCAAAGAGCTTCGCCTTTCAAAAAACAAATTTTGGGGGCCGGTGCTGTGGTTTAGTGGACGAAGGTTCCACCTGCAGCACTGGCATCCTACGCGGGAGCCAGTTCCGGGTCCCGGCGGCTCCCCTTCCCCTCCAGCTCCCTGCCGTGCCCTGGGAGAGCTGCGGACGGCCAAGTGCTCGGGCCCCGCCCCCGCGGGGAGACCGGGAGCTCCTGGCTTCAGATCGGCGCAGCCTGGCCACTGCAGCCACGCGGGGAGTGGACCAGCGGATGGAAGACCTCTCTCCCTGCAACTCTACCTCTCAGATAAAGAAGCTCTCAAACACAACAAAGCCCGCATCCCACAGGCGGATTCGGCCGCCGGTCCGGCCCGGGGACACTCACCGCCCTGCCCGGCCGGGCCCAGGTGCAGACGAGGCCCTCCTGGCAGGCGGTGATGATGCAGTCCTCCAGGAAGAGCAGCACCGTGAGGCGCTCCTGCGCGATCTTCTTGCACACCAGGGGCTCCAGCAGCGGCACCTCGTGGATGCGCGGGCACAGCGCGGTGCCCAGCACCTTGGCCGGGTCCAGGCGGCTGCGCGGCGCGGGCCCACTGGGCTTGTCCCCGCCGCCGCCGCCGCCGCCGCGGCTGATGTTGCCCAGGCTGTGGTAGCGCTTGTGCTCCCTCTCGGCCCCCCGGTCCCGCCGCTCCTGCAGCGTGAGCGTGGCGAAGCGGCCGATGCTGAACGGCGTGCCGGGCTCTGCGGCCGCCGCGCCCGGGCCCCCGGCCTTGCCACCACCGGCCGGGTGCGGGAGGCTGTTGGAGCGGGACAGCGAGCGGGGCAGGGGCCCCGGGCCAGGCTCACCGCCCCGCGAGCTGCCGGCGGCGGGCGGCGTGGTGCCAGGGGTGCCAGGGAGGGTGCGGGTGCGGGCCAGGGGCGGGTGTGGGTGCAGCACGTCTTCGGTGAGGTCCCAGAGGCAGAACTGTGTGTCCTGGCCGGCCGAGCCGAAGCGGTAGGTGATGGAGCCGGCCCTGGGCAGCGGGGACAGCGGGACGCCTCCGGCAGAGCCTGGGCCCCCGGGCTCGGCCTCCTCCTCCTCCTCGCCGCCCCTCTCCCCATCACCGCCGGCTGTCGCCGCCTCCTCCGCCCGCGTGGTGTAGGGGTCAAAGGCTACAGCGTTGACCCAGGACTTGTGGCCGTGGCCTCGGGCCACCACGCGGCCCTCGGCGAAGGACCACACGGTGACCAGGTCGTCTTCGCCGCCTGTCACCACGTAGCGGCCGTCCGGGCTCCAGCACACACACAGCAGCCCGCCAAAGTAGCTCTTCATGAGCCCGCGCAGGAGCATGGAGTCGAAGTGGAACACGCGCAGGCAGCCGTCCTGGCTGACGCAGGCCAGGTGCCGGCCGTCGGGCGAGAAGGCAAACTCGTTGAGGGGCCCCTCGCCCACCGCCCACTTGGCCAGCGGGTTGCGGGGGGCCTTGCTCTTGGCGGCGTAGACGGCGAAGCCCTCGCCCTGCTTCAGCAGGCTGTACTGCGGCGGCGCCGAGGCACACGGGTGGCTGACGTGGTACAGGTACAGGTGGCCGCTGGCGTGCGAGGCCAGGAACAGGCTCTCCGACTCGGGCAGCCACTTCAGATAGGTCACCTTGGTCTTGTCGATCAGCCGCTGCCAGGGGGAGATGGGGTGGGGGTTGGGAGAAGGCCTGGCCTCCTCGTAGACCTCCTACCCAACCTGGGACCCCCAAGAAGGCCTGGGGACGGGGCGCTGGCTCGCCCAGCCGCAGAAATCTTGCAAACTGAGTAAGACAGGTGGCCCAGGGAGCTCTCGGAACCCTCAGGGCCCGCCTTTGCAGGGACAGCCCCGCTGGGCCGCTCTGTGTGACCCTTCTCCCCACCCCGACCTCAACAGGCTCGACGCACAAAAGCCGGTCACAGGCCGTCACTTCCGGAGGGTGCGGGCACACAGGGCCGCGCCCCCAGAGCAGCTCCTGGCCGAGGGAATGGCAGCCCCATCCCGGCAGGCGGCTTAGCCGAATCCCTTCCAAATCCCTTGCTCTTTGCCCCACAACTCACCGCCAGCCCTGGGCACACGCAGAGGGCCCGGCCCGGGGCGCCACCAACCCTGCATCCCTCCAGCCCGGCCCGGCCCGGCCGGCAGCAGCGCTGCGTGGGACATTTCAGAAGGAAGCCCCTCCGCAGCCCCGGGCGCCGAGCCGGGAAAGGGGGAACAGGAGCGTCTCTGGGCACAGGGCACACGGCGACCCCCCTGAGCCTGCCGCGGCCGGGGAGCTGTCCCGCCGCAGGGCATCCGTGCCAGGCATGCGCCCTCCTCTGGGCGTTGACCTCGCAGTCGCCCCGGGAAGGCCCTCCCTGCAGTGTGGCCACCTGCTGGCACATGGCCAGCTCCGCTCAGGGCCCGCCCCCGCCTCCGGCGGCCGGAACCTGGCACAGGACAGCACTCGCTGCAAGGAGCTAATCGATTTCTCGCCCATTCAGCGTCCCACTGGCTCCCTCCTGCCAGGCAGACACAGGCCGTGGGACACGGCGTCCCCGCCGCAGACAAGGGCTTCTGTGGCGCCTGCGCCCAGCCGCCCGGACACAGGCTGCCTGCGCTCATTTCCAGTGGCCCTAGGAGGCGTGGACGCGGATCCCTTTCTGCGGAGGAGGAGAACCAAGGCTCAGGGACCGGGCGCCTTCCCAAGGTCACCGGTGAGCTACTGGTGGAGCAGGGGCAGCGAGCGACTCCCAGCTAACCACCAGCCTCAGTCTTCCCGCCTGTGAAGTGGGCGCCCCGATCCGCACCCACCTCTCCATGACAACTCAGCCGTGTGGTGCTGGGCACGGGACCGCGCTGTTCCGACCGTCACCTGTCTCCCTGCCCCTCCCCCTCCGCTCATGGCCGCCGCGGCCCGGGCGCGGCACTCACCTCCTCATTGAAGAGCTTGCTGGTGTCCTTCTTAATGAGGTCCAGGTACTGCACCTGGCCGGCTGAGAAGCCCACCAGCAGGGAGATGGTCTCCGTGGCGGCGGTGAACTGGTTGAAGTCGTGGCAGGTGGGCTGCGTGCCCTTGTAGATCCGCTTGTCGATGGGCTTCTTGAGGTCGATGGACTGGGGGGAGGAGGGAGGAGGAGGGAGGAGTTGATGGTTTGCAGGGGAGGAAGGAAGAGGGTGTTGAGGTTGGGGGAACCACCGAGAGGAAGCAGGGTTAAATCCCTGAGGGAAGTGGGCAGCCGGCGCGGGGAGGGGGCGGCCACAGACAGGAAGGCAGCCTGGATCACACACAGTAGAGGGGAAAATGACTATGAGGGTCTCCACCCCTCCCCACGGCGCCTCCAGAGGCTGGACTACCCTGGCCCCGCCGTGCCAAATCCGGGGTCACCCTGCCCGACAGCCCCCACCCCGGGACGCCCTGCCCACCAACCCCTGCCCCGCCGTGCCGAATCCGGGTCACCCTGCCCGACAGCCCCTGCCCCGCCGTGCCGAATCCGGGGTCACCCTGGCCGACATCCCCCGCCCTGGGACACCCTGCCCGACAGCCCCTGCCCCGCCGTGCCAAATCAGGGGTCACCCTGCCTGACAGCCCCCACCCCGGGACACCCTGCCCGCCAACCCCTGCTCCACCGTGCTGAATCCGGGGTCACACTGCCCTACAGCCCCCGCCCCAGGACACCCTGCCCGACAGCCCCTGCCCCACTGTGCCGAATCTGGGGTCACCCTGCCCGCCAACCCCTGCTCCACCGTGCTGAATCCGGGGTCACACTGCCCTACAGCCCCCGCCCCAGGACACCCTGCCCGACAGCCCCTGCCCCACTGTGCCGAATCTGGGGTCACCCTGCCCACCAACCCCTGCCCCGCCATGCCGAATCCGGGGTCACCCTGCCCGACAGCCCCCACCCCGGGACACCCTGCCCGACAGCCCCTGCCCCGCCGTGCCGAATCCAGGGACACACTGCCCTACAGCCCCCGCCCCGGGAACCCTGCCCGACAGCCCCGACCCAGCCGTGCCGAAGCCGGGGCCACCCTGCCTGCAGGGTTCGGGGTCCCCTGGGCCCTGAGCTCGATTCTTCCCAGCCCTGCCCCAACCTGGAGCTTCAGCAGCTCCCTTGGGACTTGGCACAACATTCTGAGACCCCAAAACCTCGGGGCCCCACAATCCCCTGGAACGCTAAAGCCCGGCGTCCCAGGGTTCCCTCCCATCTGGAGCCCCCAAACCTCACGACCCTACCCCCCCGTTCAGGGACCCAGCCGGCCTCATGGTACCCCCACATTTCTGCTACCCTCATAGCTCTGGGCTCTCCAGATCCCCTCATTCCTGGGGACCCCCATAAACTGCAGAGGCCCCTCAACTCCCCCACCCCGGTCCTGTAGCGATGCCGACACCTGGGGCTCTCCCCACCAGGGCCTCTCATGGCCTCGGATCCCCCAGCTGCTGACAGGGTCACCCTCAAAAGGCCTGTTACAGCCCTGGGCTCCCCGAGTCTCAAGGACCACCCCCCACCACACCTGCAGACGCCCCTGAGCCTGCGGCACCTCGGGATTCCCAAGCACCGGCAGAGCGCCGGCCCCCTAGGGCCCGGGGACCCCACCTCATCTCTGATGCCCCCGCTCGACCCTCAACGCCCACGCAGCATCGCGAGGACCTCCTGTCACGCCTCCCAAAGCCGCATGACCTGCCAGCGGCCCGTCTGCCCGGGATGGCCGCCACACCTGGGCTGCCCACGGCGGGCCCTCCCTCACTCCTCAGCACCCAGGCCTCACCCGCTGACTCCCGCGGCGGCAGCAGCCCGGGTAGAAATACAGCTCGCGGCCCAGGTTGAAGCAGACGCGGTCGCCCCCCGCGCCCAGCCCCGCGGGCGTGGCCGGCGGCTCCCCGGCCCCGGCGCCGTCGGGCTCCCCGAGGCGAACGAGGCTGAGGCGCACGGCGGGCAGCGCGGGCCCGGGCCCAGGGCCGGGGGGCGGCGGGGACGACGCGGGGCCCGCGGCGCCGGGGCCGGAGGCGGCGGCAGGGCCGGGCGGGAGTTGCGGCGGCTGGGGCGGCGCCGGGGTCTGGGCGGAAGCCGGACCGGACCTGCGAGCGGCGCCGTCCCCGGGGAGCAGCTTGTAGAAGCCCTCGCGGGTGCGGAACTGCGACTTAATCTCCGCGCAGTCCCCCATGGCGGCGCCGGGGCCCGAGCCGCCCTCCGCGCCGCCCGCCGCCATCTTGGGCGCCCCCCGGGCCCCGCAGCTGCCGGACAGTCGCCCGCCGCCGGGCCCCCTGCCGGAAGCCGCGGGACCGCGCCGGAAGAGGTGGGGTCGTCGCCCCGGCGACGCCTCTTCGATTGGCACCCGGATCCGAGGGCGGGACGAACCGCGACCGTCGCTCGGGTAACGGTCCGGGGGCTGTGGGCGGGGCGGGGTGGTGGGCGTGGCCTCCGCGCCTGTGAGCCGGCTCCTGGTTGGCTGTGGGGCGTGGCCCGCAGTGGAAGGGGGCGTGGTCAGTTGAGCGCTCCGGTCCCTAGCAACAGCGCCCTAGGAACCGTTTGCCTAGCAACGCAGGGACCAGCAAAGGAAGGCATCCTCCCTGACCCGGCCTCTCTATGACGTCACAGCTGACCCCAGTGCGTCTCCTTTAGAGTCTCCGCACCGTCCGGACCTCGTGTTTTCCACTGTCTTCCTGAAGACCCTGATAGCATCTTCAACCATTACTCCCCTACCCACCCCCGCACCATGGGTTCCCTCCCCCCATCCCTGCTGGCCCCAGAAACTCCAAGAATTTCATCTGACCCGCTACTGATTAACAGTAACCCCAAACATCCTCCGTATAGTGTACCCCCTCCGTTACGTACCTCCGTAACTCCACCGCCTTCAGTCACCTCATCTTCCTAAACCCAGCTATGACCCCAGAATGTCTTCGGTCCCACAATACCACCAATGTCCCCGGTGACCCACCTGCCCGCAGTGAGAGCCACGCCCCTCTCCTGGGGAAGCCAACCCTGCCCCCAACGCAGAGCCTGCTAGTCCCACGGACTCGGTGGCTTCTGGATTCCTCACAGGGACTTCCCAGGGGGCATCTCCCACTCAACGAGTCCTACGACCTTGCCCCCTTCCTGCCAGTCCTTAGGCCTCACCATGGCGCTGTGCTGCCACGCACTCAGTCATGGGGCCCGGGAGCTGGTGTCTCGTCACCTCCACACCCAGGCCTTCCTCTCCTCTTCACAGCCCTGAGCCTCCCGCACCAGCCTTGTCTGATCTCCAGCCTCCTGTCTCACTCCCTCTGCCGCCATGTGGTATCTGGAGGGCCTTGCTTGTTTCTGATATATATATATATATATATATATATATCCCACTTACTGGCTCACTCTCCAAATGCCTGCAACAGCCAGGGCTGGGCCAGGCCAAAGCCCGGAGCCACCAGGGTCTCAGATAGGAGCCATCACCTGCTGCCTCCCAGGGCGCACATTCCAGGAAACTGGGATTGGGAGCAGAGGTTAAGACTCAAACCCAGGCACTGTGATGTGGGGCGTGGGCCCCCAAGCAGCGGGGTCTCAGCCACGGTGCCCAACGCCTGGCCCTAGAGGGAGCCCTGCAGAACAGAAGTGCGGTCAGGGCCCTCCCCTGCTCACCCCCAACCCCCAGGGCTCCCTAGTGCTGTCAAGACAAAGTGAAACCCTGGACGGTGGGGCCAGAGTTGGAGGCACTGCCGGCATCACCTCCAACCAGCTCCCTGCCAGTGTCGGGGGCAGCAGAGGGCCCTGCACCCGCGTGGGAGACCTGGATGCGGCTCCTGGCTCCTGGCTGGCCCAGCCCTGGCTGTTGTGATCATTTGGGGAGTGAACCAGCGGATGGAAGACCTCTCTCTCTCCCTCTCTCTCTCCCTCTCTCTAACTCTGCCTTTCGTAAAACAGAGCTCTGAGACGCGTCCCCAGCACGGCACAAGGGTTCCGTGTGCCCCCCCCCCCGTCTTGATCTGTTCATCGCCAGCTTCGGGGCTCTGTGTGGGGCGGGGGGGGGGGGTCTGTCTCTCCTCCATTGCCTCAGCTCCAGGGAGGCAGGACTGGGGCTGCCCGGTCACCTCTGTGTCCCCAGCACTGCTGGACTGACCAAAGGGCCTTCTAAAATGTTTCGATGTTCAGACGAACCAAGAAAGGGAAACAGCCGGGGGAGACCTGGCCCAGGCAGGCAGGTACCGCCCCGCGGAGCCCAGGGGCCTCGGCTGGGAACAAATCAATCAGCGACTCGGCCATAAAGCTACGGGGGACCTTTTATTGGGAGCGGCTTCCTTCCTCCGCGCTACTACCCCTGCCCTCCAGGGACAGGAGGCGACCCAACAGTGAGGACGCCGGCCGCAGCCGGCAACGCACACAGCACAGGGGCACCCTGCCGGCTCCCGGGCCTCAGTCGTCCGTCTCCTCGTCTTCGTCTTCCTCCTCGTCCTCCTCCTCCTCCTCCGTGGCAGCCAGGGCTTGCTCCTGGGCCGCCTTGAGGGCCTGCTCCTCCTCCACCGTGGGGTCGCTCATCTCGGCGATGTCGGGGCCGCTGGGGTACTCCTGCTGGGCGGGGGCCGGCAGGGCCGGGTTGAAGTTGTCCGGGCTGTACTTGTGGCCCCAGCCGATGTAGATGTTCTCGAACTTCCTGCAGGGGGCGGGGACGGAGCTCAGAGGGGCCCCCGCCGGCCTGGGCAGGCAGAGCTGGAGGGCCACTGGGTGACAGGAGCCAGCCGTCGGGTGGGGGAGGGGTCTCTCCATCAAGGATTTACTGAGCACTGGCTCTGCGCCGGGCCAGGTCCAGGCTGACACTGCCCAACAGCACGTGTGGCCGCCCGGCACTGGAAACGGAGCAGGTGCCACTGAAGGACTGACTGGGGGGGGGGGGGGCGCTGTGGCGCAGCCCGCAGTGCCGGCATCCCATCCGTTATCCACCCAGCTCCCGGCTAATGCGCCGGGAAAGGCAGCGAGGGAGGGCCCGCCTGGGTGGGTCCCTGTCACCCACGTGGGATGCTTTCTTGGCTCCTGGCTCCTGCCTGGCCCGGCCCCAGCTGCCAAGGGCATTCGGGGAGTGGGCCAGCAGGTTCCGCACCTTCACCAGCTCCCCAGGGAGCCCTGCGCACTCGGTGTGGGAAGCCCTGCGCACTCGGCGTGGGAAGCCCGGTCCAGGTGCTACCCTGCCTGCTGCTGCCTGTTACAGCCAAGGCTGCTGTTTCCAGCGGTCCCGCCCAGAGCCCCTCAGGACGCCATGTCTGTGAGCGGTCACCAGCCCCTCGCCCGTGCCACCACTCTCTAGTGTGGAACTTATCTTGGTTTGTAATGGGGCATTGGGCTGGAGGTGGGCCTGTTGTGTGGTTAATGTGCTTCCTCTGCCTGTGCCCGGGGATGTCTTTTTTTTTTTTAATTTTTATTTTATTTATTTCAAAGACAGAGTTATATATAGAGAAAAGGGGTCTTCCATCTGCTGGTTCACTCCCCAAATGACTGCAACAGCCAGAGCTGAGCTGACCCGAAGCCAGGAGCCAGGAACTTCTTCCAGGTCTCCCAAGCAGGTGCAGGGGCCCCAGGACCTGGGCCACCTTCTGCTGCTTTCCCAGGCCACAGCAGAGAGCTGGGTTGGAAGTGGCGCCCCTATGGGATGCCGGCGCTGCAGGCCTGGGCTTTAACCCGCTGCTCCACAGCGCCAGCCCCGGGGCTGTCTTTTCACCCAGGGGCCTGGGGTGACGCGAAATCCCACCCCCAAGGAACCCTGCACGTGAGAGGACATGGAATGGACAACAAAAGTGAGAGGTTGTGCTGCCACCTGGCGGGCGGAGCTGGTAGCGCGCCGGCCGCGGGCTCCCGAGGGCAGGGCTGGGAGGAGCCTGGGGCGCCGGGATCTGGGTACCCGCTTGTCAGGCCTTGGGGTGCAACTGATGCGAGGTCGTGAGGCGGGAAGACTTCTGAGCCCCAGAAGATCCCTCCCGGTATAGAACCATCCAGGGACCCCCGGAAAGGAGTGAGGTTCCTTAGAAGGGAGATCCAGCCTGGGTGGCGGGGGTCAGGGGGACGGGGCGAGACCCGGGTTAACAGCCTGCAGGTGCCTGCAGGTGCCGGTGCCCCCCGGGCCAGCACCACCCCCAGTCTGCTCCTTCCTTCTCTGGTCTGGGCTTCTCAGTGCGGGAGCTGAGCGGGGGCGCCACTGCCCGGAGGGGGACCTACTTGCCGATGGCGTAGGTGTAGGCGCCCGGCCAGAGGTTGGAGCGCACGATGGCCACGGAGTACTGTGGGCAGAGGCTGCAGGACAGGCGGGTGGTCCAGGGGGACATGTGCATGATCTCTGCAGCAGAGGGGGCGGCGAGGTCAGCGGGGTCCCCGCGGGCAAGGCTGGGGGTGCCCGGTCCCCTGCTTGAGCTGGGTGGGCCTCAGCGACCACAGCCAGGAGAGGGGGACGCCCACTGCAAGGGCTGGAGAGCCACTGGGGCTGGCGATGGGGGCCGCCTCCGGGCAGCCTGCCGCCCCTCCTTTCTCCCCGGCCCTGGCAGGTGGGGGTCAGCATGGCGGGGCGGGGGGGGGGTCCTTACCTGCATCTTCCGAGAGTGGCGTCAGCAGCGGGGGTCCCACCTCCTGCTCCACCTCCTCCACCCCCTCGTCGGCCTTCTCTTCCTCCTCACCCAGCTCCTCCTCTTCCTCCGTCTTCTGCAGAGGGTTCACCCACGTGCAGCGGCCCTGGGGGTGGGGGGTGGGCATTCAGGTGGCTCCCCCCAGAGCGGGACGGGGGGACAGAGCCTGGCCGGGGCATTGCAAGGGGGTGAAGGACCAGGCAGTGACCCTGTCCCCGGGGTTGGGGGAGGGGAGACTGTGCATTCGCTGTGGCCCAGAGCGCGGACGTGATGGGCGCCTGCTGCAGGCGGGCACGGCTGGGCCCCAGCCCCTGCGGCACGCGGACTGTTTTGGGGGCTCCCTGTGGGCTGAGCCACTGAACACGGGGGCACAGCACCCCCGAGCAGGCTTGTGCTTCCCCAGCCCTAATGTCTGAAGAAGCTTCCTTAGCCCCCAACATGGGGGCGGGGCGGGGTGGGGGGGAGCAGTGGTGGCGCTGTGGCCCAGAGGGTGAAGCCACTGCCTGTGACACCAGCACCTGGCATCAGAGCGCCGGTTCGAGTCCCGGCTGCTCCTCTTCCGATCCAGCTCCCCGCTATGGCCTGGGAAAGCAGTGGAAGAGGGCCCAAGCGCTGGGGGCCCTGTACCCATGTGGGAGACCAGGAAGAAGCTCCTGGCCCAGCGCTGGCTGTTACAGGCATTTGGGGAATGAAGACCCCTCCTTCCCTCCCTCCTCCCCCCCCCCTCTTCTGAAACTCTTCCAAATAAGCAAACCCGCGCAAGGATTCTGGAAGGCTCTGAAGCCCCTGTGCGCTCCCTGCGCGGGTCTCGCCGGCGCCCACCTGCGGCAGGATGTGCTGCGCGTGGTGGACCCAGTTGGCCATGGAGTCCACCAGCTCCAGCACGGGGATGCCCTCGAAGTCCGGGTTCTCCTCGAACGAGTCGCGCCCGGCGCCGCCCTCCTCCTCCTCGTCGCCCTCCTCCTCGCCGAACTGGTAGAAGCCGAGCGGGCTGATGTGCGTGGCGGCCGAGATGCGCGCGATCTGCGCGCGCAGGTAGTTGGCCTCGTTGCCCGGGAAGGGCGGGTAGCTGAGCACGGGCGCGTCCAGGTGGCCCGTGAAGAACTTCCTGATCTTGCGCGCCTGCACGATCTGCGCGGGCGTCACGTGCGGCAGGCGCGCCCACGGGCGGCCCGGCTCGCTGCACACGAAGTACAGGTACTTGTTGGCGCCCGTGCGGCTCTCCTCGCGCGGCGTGGCGGGCGGCGGCCGCCAGGTGGGCTGCGGCAGCGCGTCGGCCGCCTTCTCCTCGTCCTCCTCCGCCTCCTCCTCGCCGTGCGGCTCCAGCACGTCGCCGCCCTCCAGCAGCTCCTCGCCCTCCTCCTCCTCGCCCTCCTCCTCGCCCTCCCGGAACTCCACCTCGGCCACCACGTAGCTGCGGCTCAGCCCCAGCACCTTGCCCCAGAAGCGGCACGTGTGCACGGGCTGCTGCTCGGCCAGCTGCTTCATGGCCAGGAAGATGCGGAAGCTCTCGTCGGCGCTCAGGCCCACGCCCCCCTGCTGGAAGTAGAAGGCCGCCTCCATGATGTTGGGCACCACCGTCTCCGTCTGCGGGGGCACAGGGCAGCGGGCTGAGCGCCGCTCCCTCCCTGGACCCTGCTGCTGGGACGCTGCAGCCCAGGGCCCCCCCAGGCAGGGAAGGAGTTATGGGGAGAGGGTTCCTGGATGCGGAACACAAAGCCACCCTGGGGAGCACAAGCAACTCCTTTGCTTGGAGTCGGGGATGTGCGGTCTGAAGCCACAGCAGCTACCTCGGGACCCTGAGGCAGTAACGCACAGGACGTAAAGTCCTACACCACGAGGTATTGCGCCTGACCGTGGGGACGCTGCGTGGCCCCCAGTAGCGTGGCTGCGCTGCCTGACCCCCTCTGGCCTTGTCTTAGAGGACGCAAATGTCACTTTCGGTCGCTTTCTGTTGCAGCCAAACGCACCCCTAACACATACTCCACATACCCAGCCGACTAGGGGAAGAGGCTGCCTCCCCTCCCCCTCCCCCATCTCCTTGGCTCAGAAAGCCACGGGGGGGGGGAGGGCGGGGGGTGCTGGCCCTGGGCTGCCACCTGTGACACCCGCATCCCATGTGGGCGCCGGTTCTAGTCCTGGCTGCTCCACTTCCGATCCAGCTCCCTGCTATGGCCTGGGAAAGCAGCGGAAGATGGCCCAAGTGCTTGGACACCTGTATCCGTGCTGAAGCCCCGGATGGAGTTCCAGGCTCCTGGCTTTGGCCTGGCCCAGCTGCAGCCATTTTTTGGCCAGCTGGGGAGTAAACCAGGGGATGAACCATCTCTCTCTCTCTCTCTGTTTTCTTTCTTAAAGAGAAGGAGAGAGAGGTCTTCCACCCGCTGGTTCACTCCTCAAACCCCGCCAGCCAGGAGCCAGGGACCCCGTCGGGGCCTCCCACGCGGCTGGCAGGGGCCCAAGCACTGTCGGAGCTTTCCGGGGGCGGCGGCAGGGAGCCGGCTCCCAGGCACTGCCGCCTCCGCGGCGCCAGCAGGAGAGAGCGCCACGCCCACCCGGCCACGCCCCCCGCCGCAGGCTCCGCCCCTCCCCGCCGCCACGCCCACTCACCACCTCCTCCTCCATCTCCTGCTCGCCCTCCCCGCCGCCACCGCCGCGCGAGAACAGCGACTTCTGCTTCTCGGCCATCTCGAAGGTGGGCTGCATCTCGGGGTCGTCCTGCAGCGTGTCCACCTTGGGGTGGAACCACTCGCTCTGCGTGGTGCGGTTCAGAAACTCCAGGATGGACAAGGGGTCCTCGGGTCGCTGGTTCAGGATCTTGGTCAGTAGGTTCACCAGGTGTTCATACCTGCGTCCGTGGGCGGGGGGGGGGGGAGCGGTGGGAGGTGGGGGCATCCTTGAGTCAGCTCTGGAGCCCTGGCGCGGGGGTGGGGGGCCAGCCGGGAACGGGAAGTGTGCTCGCCCTGGTGGGGCTGGGTGCGGACAGGTGGTTAACTATGCAAGTTGATGGCGACTTCTATGGGGACAGAGCTGGGGGCGCGTGCTGGGGCTGACAGGTGGCCAGGGGAGGGCTCAGCGAGCTGACGTTTCAGCTGGGATCTGCACGAAGGGAGGGGGTCAGGGTGGGCGGTTCCTTCCGTGCATGGGCCCGAGACGCCCGGGCACCAAGACCCAGGGACGCGAGCAGAAGGGGACATTCCCTGCCCATCTCAGCAGGCGGCACAGAATGCCGCGCCATGGTTAAGTAGGGGGGTGAAGGGAGACCGGGACCAGGGAAATCAGAATTCTAGGACATTCAGCGCCAGCTCGTATTTCCACCCCTGCCCCGCAGAGATTTTTTTATAGTCTTATACGGGGTGGCCAAGGGTCACCCATGAAGGCTAAAGGTTCGAGTCCTCCCGTTTGTATTTAATGCTGCACGGAGCCAGCGTAGTAATCTGAGGATTGGGAAGGGGCCAGAACTCTCGGCCTATCAACCCAGGGACTGTGGGAAGGCGGTGGGGTGTGGATGTGCCCGGGGGGGCTGGGCCCAGGTCAGGACGGGTCAGGGGCCTGGCTGGGGCCATAAGTGAGGACGGCAGCCAGCCTGTGCGACCAGGGACACCTGACTTCAGGGCTGGGGGGAACCTCTGGTCGACCCTGCAGCTCCCGAGAGCTGGGAGATCTCCCGCGGGAGCGGGAGCCCTTGAGTCCTGCTGGATTCTAGAATCTGAGGCAGGGGCGGGCTGTGGGGAGGGGCTGTT